ACTCTTGACACTTTTTGAGACTTCTGATTAAAAAGAGAATACTGATTTATGAAGAATGAAGTCATAGTGTTTTTGTTAAAAAAAAGGAATGGAATTAGAATATATATTTTCCTTTTGAATACGGATTTTCTCATAATTATCAATCCTGTAGCATGTATCTCAACTGGTATTTTATTTTTTATTTTTATTTATTTTTTTTTTTTGAATTTATCATAAAAAATATTATAATTTACACAAATTGAAAATACTTCCCTATTTACTTGTTGCCTACTTTGTTGTCATTCTCTTTTTTTCCTCCTTATTGTTTTGATGTCCGCACAGAAACACCTGTTGTTTGGCTATTAAAAAACTGTTTGCCTAACAATGACACATTTTTTTTTTTTTTTTTGGGAAATCAGCAAGAAAAATATATATTTCTTGAGAAAGCAAACAAACGTTCACATATATTCATTAATAGATAGATAGTCTTTTTTCATACAACAACAACAACAACAACGAAACCACGAGCATTAAAACGCTTAGGGAAATTCGGATAATCAAATAAATTATAATAGAAAAAAGTATAATGCTGCTTGTCACTAAAACAAAAAATTCTCCTGAATTAAAAACAAAAACAACTTTTTTTGGCAACCATTTTAAATGGAAAATCCAACCAAAAAATAAAAACAAATCCGTTTTTGGTGGCTAAAAATATACATAGATTTCAAAAAAAATAAATAAATAAATAAAAACCAAAACGAAAAGAAAAGAAATTTTCTCAAAATAAAAATTTCTAACTTAAACAATAATAATGATCGTCTCTCTTAGGCGGCAATGAGAACGCGAGAGATTTTTTGCGGAATATAAGAGTTTTTCGTATTAGAGAAATGCTGCTAATTTGTATAACAGTTTTAATCCAATATTTTCTTTTTTTTGTGGCAGAGTTGTTTTTTCCCCTTAAACGCACACATTTATTTTGTAAATTTCATTTTTCTATTCTAGTATTGGCTTGGGTTTTAATTAATTAACCTTAATTTATGCCATGTAAATTAATAAATGTTGGCTTTTGTTGTTGTTATAACGATTCTTTTTAAAAAGAGAGCTAAATGTGTAGTTTTTCCACCTAATGGCTGGGCGGGCATTCTTGTCGCTATTTATTACACATTTTATAATGCAAATGATATTTAAAAAAAATTCGTTGTGTATTACAGTAGGTACTCAATTTTTGCAATTAAAGATTTTTTTTTTTTCAATTTGTTGTCTTTTTGTGGAAAGAAATAATTTATTTTTTTTTTTTAATCGATTACAATTAGAGTATCCCTTTAAGTTATTTTAGCGAATATATTAGAGGGTTTTTTATTTTAAAAAGCGTTTTCAGCTTGAAGTTTGTCTTTTGAAAAATATACAGGGTGAGATGAAAAAACTACAACCAATTTCAGAAATGGTTCGAAAAGTAAAGAAGCGACTTGATCGAAACCCGCGTCGCAGTGGCCGAAAAATGGGTCATGAGCTGAACATATCGCAATATTCCATTCAGCAAATATTGAAAAATGAGCCATTGATATTCCAAAAAGTTCAAGAACTTACACCGCAAAAGAAAGAAAATAGACTCAAAAGAGCTAAAGAGTTGCTTCGCTTGGCCGAAAGTGGTGAACAACCGAATTTGGTTTCTGCGATGAGAGAACAATCGTTGTCCAGAAGTTTGTAAACAAACAAAATGATCGTGTTTACTTGCCAAAAGAGGTCAGCTGAAAATTTGCACCTTCGATTGGCCACCAGAACTCAAGCGCCGGCCATGGTGATGGTGTGGGCTGCCACAACAGCCGATGGTCGCTCTTCGTCCGTATTAATTGACCGTGGCATCAGAATAAAGACCGAATATTATCGCGAAAATATTCTGGAGGGTGTATTAAAGCCTTGGGCACGCAAACATTTTGGCCTCAGACCTTGGACATTCCAACAGGACTCAGCGCCATCGCACTCAGCACGCGCCACCCAAAAATGGTTACAAAATGAGGTTCCTCGCTTCAATTCCAGCTCACATCGGCCACCAAAATCTCCGGATACCAATCCGTTGTCTGGAGTATTTTGGAAACAAGCTTGCAACTAAAAAATACAAATTTTCGATCACCTCAAGCAAGCGCTTCGCCGGGAATGGGCCAAAATACCGCAGAGCAACATTCCGGCTGCGTGTGACGGTTTCATTGTCCGTTTGAAGGTCATAATTCGTGACAAAGGTGACCAAATCCAAACTTATTCTAAAATTTGATGCTATTTCCTACATTTTTGCTTTCATTCAGTAAAATTTAAAAAAAAATGTAAAAATTATGGCCTTTGACTTTGTTGCTGTTTTTTTATAGATGTACAAAAAACCCTTTTCATTTGCTTTTTTTTTTATTTTGGCTAAAATTTCCTAAAATTTTAAAATATTCAATTTACAAATATCTTTGTTTTGCAAAAATTGTTGCCCTACTGTAGATTAAACGAACTTAGCATTTCCCTCTATACGTATTTTTTTAGTACTTCTCTTCTTAGTCGTCCACCATGTCCATATCTAATAGAATCTATCTCAATATCTAGCCGCTACATACATACATACGTAGATTTGTCGATATGCTGCCCGCCACAAATCTAATGAGCAATCTAGCCGCCTAGCATCCATCTATCCATCCTATAGTTGGCTGTATGTGAGATATATATTTTGAATTTTCAATTCTAAATTGAGTGTCATGCTGCCGCTGATTGGTGTTGTTGTTGTCTTTCTTATTGTCATTGTTGTTGGCGTTGTTGTTTTTGCACAAAACCAAATCGAAAAAAAAAACTAAAAGAAAATCTTTTTGTGGCTACAAAAGAGTAGCAGAACTGAATTTAGTCACAAACGAGTAACGAAACACTGCGGTAATAACGGGGCGTCTTGATTTTTTGCGCGATACGCCGTCAAACGAATTGAAAATAATTAAGCAAAAGAAATAAAAAGAATAAATTGAATTTTCAATTTAGAAAAATATAAAATATAATTGTCATTGGAAAGCCTCGTGATAAAAGAATATCATTATTACAGGCGGTGTTTTTGTTAAAAAAATTCATATATGTAAAATAAAATTGCACGACTATTTTTTCCATAATTTATTTGAAAGCAACGATTTGTGGATTTAAAAACAAAAAAGCCAAAAAATCCCCAAAAATAAAACGTAACCTTATTAATCATAATTACGAAATTCAACGAACAACGAAGCGACGACCTGCCATTTAAAACAAAAGAGCACGAGAAAGATCTAAAAGGAGTACAACACCGAGAGAGAGAGAGATAAAATATCGTTTCGTCTTCTTTAATAAAAACAAATAAATTTCAACGAGAGCGGCGAGCAGAGAGCATTTGGATTTGTTGTTATTGTTCAACAATAAATGCAGGGATTTACTCTTGGATTTGGCTGTAACTGAACTAAATTCTCTTTCAATAAACATAGGAGAATATTGCTAATAAAAATTTACGATTTTATTTAAATATAAATATAAATAAAAAACCACGAAAAAATATATTTTTTGATCATCAGCACATTGAGAGCAAAAGAGAAAGAGAGAGAAAGAATTTTAAAGAGTGTTTTTCGAAAAAAAAGAGAGCATAATCAAACAAAATAAAAACCTACAAATACACGTGATAAAATTTACAAAATATTTACAAAATTATAAAAAAAAGTTTTTTTTTTAAGAAAGTGTTATTTTATTCATTTTGTATGCCAAAGCAACATTGGCCAATTAAGTACAATTTAAATATATTTAAAAAAATATTTTAAGCACAATTTTGTCTATATTTGTAGAAGAAAAATATAACATAAGAAATATAAATTCACAAAACAAAATCTTTTTAAAAAAAATTATAAAAAAATATTTTCAATAACAAAAATTTAAAGTTTTTTAAAAATATATTATAAAAAATATATACAAAAAATAATATTTTAATAAACGAAAAATATAACTAATCAACGAAAATTTAAATAATCAACGAGAATATAAATAATAAACAATAATAAATTTGAATAAAAAATACCGGCAAAAAAATTAAAATAATCTGAATATATTTATTTTAAATAACAATATATTTAAAAAAATAATATTTAAAAAAAAAAACGAAAATATAAATAAAAGACAATAATAAAATTAAATAAATTGAATAATGTATAACAAAAAATAACATAATATTTTATTCTAAACACAAATAAATTTTTTTTCTTGACCAGGAAAAACTGGAATTTTTAAAGTTGTTAAAGAAATTTACAAGATCTAGAATTACCATTTAAATATATATATTTTTTTTTTTTTTTTTGCAAAAACCTTAAATCAGTTATATAATTCTGGTTTTTTAATATATTGTTCTAGCAAACCAAATACAAATACTTATATTTTCGATAAAAAAAAAAAAAAAGTTGTAAAAAATACTAAATTAATTTCTGTCTGATTTTTAAAATAAAATCAATAAAAATTAAAATATATTTAAAAAAGATAACCAATTTCTTTCTAATAAAATATATTTTTTTTAAATTTTAAGAAATTATATTTTGTGTTGAAATGATTTTTTCTTAAAAATATTTGTAGCGATAATAATATTTTTTTATAAAAAACTGTTAAAAATATTTTTATTGTAAGATATATTTTGCGTGAAATTCAAAGTATATTTTTAAAACACTAAAATTGTTATAAAAGTAATAATAATTTGAAAAAATTAAAAAATAGATGTTGTTTTAATAGAAATATTTTCGAAGCAAGACCCAAACAATTCTAGTTTCATAAAAATTAGAAAAAGGAGAATATATATTTTTTTTAATTTGAAATAAACTTTTTGGGTCACAAAATCTTGTGAAATTTTTTTTATTATAATTTTTTTGTACTGTCAATTAATGCAAAACTTAAATAATTAAAATACGTTTTTTTTAATTTTTACAAAACCATATATAAAATAGTTTAAGAAATATTGCAAAAAAATATTTTTTTTCAATTTAAAAATAAATGTTTAAATATTTCTAAACAAATTGTTATCGACTACAAAATATTTATTCTTGTTATTACTTGTCCCATTACTTTAAATGTATTTTAATGAAATTCGTTTAGTATTTAAAAGAAATTGTTTTTGCATAGCGATAAAAAACGTAAAATAACAAGAACAACAACAACAAAAACTTCAAATACATCAATATAATAATAACAATTTATATTTCGTTGTAATTTTGTGAGATTTGAAAATTATATTATGATCACTTGGATTTTGTCTTGTCAACACTGGGTCGGGCAAGACCAATTGTTTAACGAAATCCTCAACTTCCCCAGCTTCGTAGGGGGAAAGCCGAAATTTTCAAAAGTGTTCACCAATCACAATAAAAATGTGAAACCACCTGAACTAAATGAAGACTGTTTTTATAAATAACTGATGACGAGAAATCAGTACAAAACGAACGAACTTTACAAATGAACTTAACGAACAGTACATTTTATTAAACGAACACTCAACGATTACAACGACTTTTTTTTGAACGAAACGATAAATAATATTTTGAAAGTTATAACAACTTTCTGGTTTTCTTTGCTCACAATTGTGCCATACAAATTACCTTGGGTACTTCAATTGTTCTAAAAAAAACCAAATCTTTTCTAAGAAAAGCTTTTTATTGTAAATATATAAAATTAATTATTTTTTAAAGCAACAAAAAACCAAACAAAAAACTTAAGACATATTTAATTTATTTAATAAAAACAAAAGACGCTCAATTTACTCATTTTCGCTTTAATTTAAAATCCTATAACTAGTCAAGCCTATTGATATTATCCGCCCCATATTTATTTATTTTGTTTGTTTTTATATTATAATAACTTAATTTAGTTTTTAGGTAATATTATATAAGCAAAAACAATTATATATTTATTTTCCTTAAAAACTTGTTATTTATTAATTAAGCTATATGAAAAACTTAAATGTAAAACCGTACCAAGCGTACCATCCCTACAATAGGCCCAACAATAACAATCAACAGCAGCCGCAGCATCAGCATCAGCAACAACAACAAACACATCATAATCAATACCCACAACAACATCAACATCTCCAACAAATACCCAACTATCATTCATATAACAGTAATCAGTCTGCCAGATACTCTTTTCATTCTCCATCCACAACTCCTACATCTCTAACAGCAGCATCGTCGGCAGCAGCAACAACATCACCAGTTTCAGTTTCAAATCACAGCTTAGAACCACCTACGCTTGGCGGTTATTTAGCTAATCAACATCATTTGCAACAACAACAACTGCAACAAGAACAGCAGCAACATTTGTTAAGGCTACAACAAAGCTATACTCAACACCAACAACAGGCGGCAGCACAGCAACCCTCAAGCATGTTGAGTCTAAATCACAATAACAACAATGCCTACGGCTATAATTTCCCTTTCAATACACTGGGCGGTGGTAGCAACAACAACAACAACAATAATCCACTAAATTTTAATGCTCAACCAACAGCAGCTAAGACGCAACAAAACAACAATAACCATGCTCTCTCTCGTCCCCAACGACCGAACTCTCTTAACCTCAACAGCAGCCTGACTTCTTTGGCCACACCAATTTCCGGTTCCGCCTACACAAAATCGGCAGCAGCAGCAGCAACAGCCAATGCCATAATCCCCGGCCCCTTGTCTGCCCCACCATCGGCATCAGCAGCCTCTACAGCAACAAGTGCTACTGGCCATGGAATTGGATTTCCATTTCCCTCTCAAACATTTTACAATCAAAGAGAGCATTTCTTCAATGCAAATGCTCAAAATTATTACAATAACATCCAACAGCAGCAGCAACAACAACACCACCACCAGCAGCAGCAACAACAATCACAGCATCCTTATAACCATCATCAGCAACAACAATTGCAACAATTTCAGTTATTGCAACAACAATTGAAACACCAACAACAGTTGCAACTAAACAATCAAATGGCCGCAATTTCGAAATCTTCATCAGCCAATAATGTTGCAACTACTGCTGCTGCAACTTCATCAGCCGGTGGTGGCAACAAAAATTTGGCAAATACGTCTGCTGCTACCACAATTAGTGATGGTGCTCCTCCAACTCCTGCTACAAATCAATCGAATAACAATCTAATAAATCAAACGAATAATAATTCCAATACCGTTAATAACAATAGCAGTAATAATGATAATAATAATAACAACAACAATAATAATAACAATTGTGATCGTCTTGCCATGGACGCCTGTGAAATTGCCAATTTCCTCGCTAATGAGCTATTTATGCAACAGGTATTGATTAGTTTTATTTTTTTATTTCGAACAGTTCATTTGACAGTTATTGTGTTATACAAACTTTGTGCATGCACGAAAGTGTAATACAACACGTTTTAAATGGAGAAAGCAAATATATATATATCGCTTTTCACTTGGGGGAAAACGGTTATACCAATAATTGTTTGAATAGAAAAGTGTTATAAATTGCATATTTTAAAATTTATAAAGTACTATAAAAGATTTTTTCTTTGGAGAAGTCTTATTTGACAAGTTTTTCTTATAAAAATTGCAAAATATATCTTAATATAAATCTTTCAATGAAAATATTTTGTATAACAGTTTTTTTATATGAGCGAAATGGGATAAAATACATTTTCTACATAGAAATATATTGCATAACAATGCTCCTGCACAGAAAAGAGTAACAAAAATATATTTAATTTAATTGCAATTAACGAAAATATTTAATATAACATTTTTTATGAGCAAAAGTGTCATATAAAATATTTTCCGTAAGGATACATCAGCTAAAATATACTGTATAACAGTATTTTTTTTATTTGGGCGAAAGTGTATTTTAAAATACAGTGTGAGAAACTGCTGTCATTTCTAAGCCACTCGTCCGACAACTGTTAAAATTATTCCAGTGACCGCTCATTATATTGTCTAGAAACGTACAAAAGCATTTTGGTGACATTTTTCCAGAAAAAAATTTATTCGTGATGGAATTGAAGCGTAATAGTGTAATTTCCTTATATTTGGCTGGAAAACCACAAGTGGTTATCGTTAGAGCACTCCAGCATTTAAATGTGAATAAATCTTTGAAGACAGCAACATCAGCAGAAATGTTTCGAAAAGTAAAGAAGCGACTTGATCGAAACCCGCGATGCAGTGACCGAAAAATGGCTCGTGAGCTGAACATAACGCAATATTCCATTCGGCAAATATTGAAAAATGAGCTCGGGCTAAAGCCATTAAAATTCCAAAAAGTGTAAGAACTTACACCGCAACAGAAAGAAAATAGACTCAAAAGATCTAAAGAGTTGCTTCGCTCGGCCGAAAGTGGTAAACTGCCGAATTTGGTTTTCTTCGATGAGAAAACATTCGTTGTCCAGCAGTTTGTAAACAAACAAAATGATCGTGTTTACTTGCCAAAGAGGTGAGCTGAAAATGTGCACCTTCGGTTGGCCATCAGAATTCAAGCGCAGGCCATGCTGATGGTGTGGGCCGCCATAACAGCCGATGGTCGTTCTCCGCTCGAATATTATCGCGAAAATATTCTCGAGGGTGTATTTAAGCCTTGGGCACGCAAACATTTTGGCCGCAGACCTTGGACATTCCAACAGGACTCAGCACCATCGCACTAAGAACGCGCTACTCAATAATGGTTACAAAATGAGGTTCCTCGCTTCATTTCCAGCGCACAATGGCCAACAAAATCTCCGGAGACCAATCCGTTGGACTATTGTTTCTGGAGTATTTTGGAAAAAAAGATTGGCTCTAAAAAATACCAAAGTGTCGATCACCTCAAGCAAGCGCTACGCCGGGAAAGGCCAAAATACCGCAGAGCAACATTCGGGCAGCGTGTGACGGTTTCATTGGCCGTTTGTAGGCCATAATTCGTACCAAAGGTGATCAATTCGAACAAATCTAAACTTATTCTAAAATTTGATGCCATTTCCGACATTTTTTGTTTTTATTCAATTATGGCGTTTGACTTTGTTGTAGTTTTTTTTTTATCTCATTCTGTATGGGGTATTCATTTCCCAGCACATTTATATGACACGTTCTTTCTATAGATGTATTCTACAAAAACGAAAGTGTTATACAAGACATTTAATGCATATGAATGTATTATAATTTATAGAAAGTGATGTATTCTACAAAAAAAAAACTGTTATACAAAATATTTAATGTATATAAATGTATTATCATTTATAGAATGCATATTTTTTCCGACGAATGTGTTATATGATAGATTTACCTAGAAAAATATGTCATAAATTCAACAGTATAGGCTGATGTAAAATCTTCGTTAGCATCATACAGCACTTCGTCTATATGGAAAAATATTAAGGATTTTCCACAATATAATGTAATAAAAGTAATTTGTTTGCAGACATATGTCATACATTTGTGAATGAAACTGTTATACACTAAATTTTGCTTGTTGAATATGTAGTCAATGAATATTATTATTTATTTTATTATTATTGAATTTTTATTATTATTGAAACGAATTATAATTAGAAAATCTGTTATATCCAACATTCCATAAAATATTGAAATAGAACTCTTTATGAAATTTCGGTTTTGAAAAGGAAGTAGGAGCGTAAATTGCTTTAGAATCGAAATGTATTATTCTAGAAATCCTAAATTCGAATGTTATATTTTTAGGTCTCCTTAAGAATTTTCGAAAACCTCTTTTCTCTATTCAATTCTGTGGAGTTTCAAACTTAAAAACTTCACTTCTCCCTTTCACGTTTTCTAACAAAAATTTCCAATGTGAATTCCAATCACTTGAAAAATGCATCAAATACCTAACTTTTAAGAGAAATTGTTAATTAAAATCAACACTCTTCTTCTCTCATGTACAAGAAAATCGAAAAGAAACAAACAATGCCAGCATTACCAATTAAGACGCGGCAACAACAAAAATATCAATCGAATAAAATGTTGTGAATTTTTCCCATGAAGAAAAGTCAAAACAAAATTTTCACTACGAGTTCATCTTTAAAAATAAAACCTTTTTTGCTTTCGTTCTTTCTTCGACAACGTGTGTGAACTTATTTTTTTTTTTGCTTTTGTATTTTGTTTTGTTTTTTTGCTTTGTTGTTATTTTAATGTTTGTTTTATTTTCATCAATATTGCGCTTTTGTTGTGCCCGTTGATGATTTTCGCGGAATAAAAGAATTGAATTGAGATGGGAAATGAAATGGGGGGTGGGGGGAATTACCATTGGAAATTATAGCATAAATAAGAGCAGTTCAATAAACAATTTAATTTTTATTTATTTATTTTTATTTTTTTTAGCAAATTAAAAAAAAACAGTATAAAATGTATCATTATATATAGCCAATGTTCGTTTTTGTTTAAATATATTTTGACTTGTGTTATGATTATTCAATTTGTTGACCCGAAGTAGGTTTCGAAGAAATGGCCAAATATTTTCCATTTCATATCGGACCTATATACATATGATATAAATATTGCGACGTGCCGTTTTGGTTATTCTAAACTTTGACCCTTTGTAGAGGAGGTACCAAAAGGAATGGTCCAATCTCTACCATCTTTATAACAGATCTTTTGTTGATAGAAATATTGAGATTTACCAAGTCACATCCAATTCCATGCATGTTAATTTAGCGTTTTATGATCTTCAGGGATATTCCAAAATTTGATCCTTTATGGGGGGAGGTACGAGAAGGAGTGGGCCGATATATCCCAATTTCCCACCAGACATTGGGTTAATTAAAATATTGTGTGCAATTTGAAGAGAACTGAATGCTTATTTCGGATTTTATGATCGTTTTGGTTATTTAAAACTTTGACTCTTGGTGGAGTAGGAACCAGAAGGAATGGTCCGATCCCTACCATCTTTATAACAGATCTTATGTTAATAGAAATATTGAGGTGTACCAAGTCTGAATGGGATCGAATGTTAATTTCGCGTTTTATGAGCTTCATGGATATGCAAACTTTTAACCCTTTGTGGGATATGGTACCTCCGAAATGGATGGAGTGGACTCCAATATATTCCATCAGATGTTGTGTTAGTAGAAATAATGTCATGTGTGTAATTTTAAAACAATCGGACTCTTAAATCACATTTTATAAGAGTTATAATAATTTAAAATATTGACCCTTTGTGGGGGAGGTACACGATGTAGTTGACCGATATTGTCCATTTTCGCACCTGAGCTAGCCCTGATGCAAATATTACGATTTGCAAAGAGCAAAATCCCCTCGAGAGTTATCGTGCGCACCAGCCAGCAGACAGAGGGACGGACATCGCTAAATCGACTGGAAACTCCAAACTCAACACCTGAAACGGATTTGGTCCAAAGAGACCTAGGGCCTAAAACCGTTATTTCGATGAGGCACGTTTTGGCCGTATCAAATAATATATACCCTCTGTAGCCATATGGCTTAGGGTATACAAATTTAAGCTTTTTCCAAATGTAATTGAAAACATTTAAGTAGTAATTAAAATAATTTCAATTATGATTCGAGAATTTCATTTTAATTCGAAACTTTTTTGTTTAAATTCGAGAAATCCATTTTCATTTCGAAAGGTAGAATTTTAAACATAAATGATTTCGTTGTGAACTTATAGCCAAGTTTTAAAGAATATCACAAATTAATTTCAAAAATTGTCATATTTCTTTAATTAAATTCATTCAAAATTAAAAATAAAAATATATATTTTTATTTTTAAGTTATTAATGTAAATTAAAGAATTATTATAGTATTTTCCCACGAAAATCCAAACCTATGTATGTTGATATTTGAAATTTATTTAATTTTTTTCTTCAGTATCGCATATCCATAATGACGGCTCCCAAACACCTGTCAGCTGTCAGCTTTTGCTTTGATTTAAGACAATTTAAGTAGCTTGTCTAGGAAAAAAACATTTGAAACACTTTTTCCTCTATTGCTAATCATTCTGAACTGCAATAATAAAAATAAACTATGATTTATTAGTTTATGTTCTTAGTTTTTGTTTTGTTTTTTTTTTTTTTTTTTTTTTTTTTGTATTTACATTTTGTCTCCTCCATTTGTTGTGTGGCATTGTTTGCTAAACGTGAGAACAAATATTTCATTTCTGGGAGCTTTAAAGATAATTATTGGTTTTGTTTTATTTCGCTGTATTATTATTAATACAATAATTACGAGAAAGGTGTGGTTAGTTATGCGTGTGTGTGGCTGCATACTATTATGATTGTTATTAACCAAACGCGACTAATAATTAATATATAATTTGCTGATGTTTATTGCAATATGTATAGCAAATAAATAAAATTGCAAAAAGAGTTTATTTCAGAAGAAAAAGATCGAATTATTTTGCTGTATATATGTCAAATTTGTTGCTTCATCTAAATCTTATTATGCATCTCCCCTGTCTGTCTTGTTTTCCTTCATTATCATAAAATATAATGTTATTTTTCTCTCACACATTAAACAAATCAAAAAAAAAATTGTTTTAATTATTATAATAATTTTCACCAAATCCACACCTGATTATAAAAATATGTATATTATGTGTTTTCTCATTATAAAATGTATGTATGTATCATACATGTATGTATGTCTACATCATTCACACGTTATGGCAGATGGTATGGCAGATATACCAACCAGACCATTTGGTGGCTTTTCATGTGGCAAGCATTTTTTTTCTCCCAACAATCTGACATACATATAAAATGTTATAAAATTATTTATATATATTTTTTTAAATATAAAAAAATATATTTTAATGTGTAACTACACACATATATATACAGATAAATGTATGCATATACGGAATTTTAGTGATGCTATTGATTGCGTTTGTAGTGACTTTTAAAATAGGACACACCTACACGTGATAGATATGCACATATATAAATATTTCGGTCATGCATTTACTGATGTCTTGGTTTTTTGATTTTGAATTATTTTTTTTTCTTGTTTTAATAAAATTACCATGAACAACATCTGTGCCATGGTGATATGTAAATGTTGGGAAAATATTGTAATAAATTGAAATTGTATTCGATTTTCCCTCATTCTGTTACCAATTGGTGACAAAGAGTCTAATTTTCTTCAAAGTACACACATCGCAATATTTTTATTAAACCAAAGACTGGTGTGAAGATTTAATAGATCGGTCTATTCTTGTACCTCCCCCACAAAGGGTCAAATTTTTGAATATCCATGAAGCTCATAAAACGCGAAATTAACATCCGATTCCATTCAGAATTAACACATCTCTATATCTCTATTAACACAATACCCACCAAGGGGTCAAAGTTTTGAATAACCAAAAATATTGGGATATATTGGTGAAAATGGGATATATTGGTCCACTCCTTCTGGTACATCCCCTACAAAGTGTCAAATTTTTGAAAAACCATGAAGCTAATAAAAAAATAAAAATTAACATCCGATTTCATTCAGGCTCGGCACATTTCGATTTTTCCATTAACACAATATCTGTTATAAAGATGGTAGAGATCGAACCACTCCTTCTGGTACATCCCCCACAAAGGTATCGGCGCACTTCTTCTGTACATCCCCCACAAATATATCTGTCATAACTGGCGAAACAAGTTGGCGATTCTATATCTAAATATTTCTCTTAACCAGAAATCTGATATAAATATGGAATTTATCGGAATTTATGATTTCGTATAAAATTGGATATATTTGTTTAATTTGTTTTCAACATCAGACACATATATTCGAGTCCTAAAATTGAAAAGTAATTGATTTAACTTACTTTATTTTAATACAAAATAAAAACACCTCAAATTTGGTACCAATTTAGGCAAAATAGGTTACACAAGGTACGAAAAAGACCCATTAGCTAATTATTTTCCCCAAATTATTTACGATTGGAGGATGCATTTGTCTCTCGAGGAAAATGATTTTCGCGGGAATAGAATTTTGGCCGGAAGGAATAATAGTTTATAATAATTCCTAAAGTTTGTTTGTTTATTTTAAAAATTTCCAAAAAAAATTCCACGAATACTTTCTTTTAATTTGTTGTCTGTTTATTTTGATTTTGTTTTGAGAAAAGTTTATTGTTTACACTTAAGAATTGTAAGTGGAACACTCCGACATTTCTATCTAAATTAAATTAAAAAAAACATTAAAAGTGTTTATACGACTTTGAACTCAAAACCCGAAAACATGAAATATAAACACACACGCTTTCCCAGAAATATGAAAAATAAAAATCATTATTATTTTTTTTAATTTTGTTTATGAATCTCATTTTATTGATTCCTATTTTTTTTTTTTCGTAAATTGCAGCTCGTCTCTATGGAATGCATGCAAACAGGTGTACCCACATTGACCACACCCACCCTGACGCCAACGACACTGCGTAGCATAGAGGAGACCTTTACACAATTGACAAGTGAGCCAATGAATGCACCATATCAGGCTGGATTTATACCACCACCATTGGGTTCATATAATCCAACAACGAATAGCAATAACAACACTAATAATACAACTAATTCCACAACGATAACATCCGTCACAGCGCCGTGCAGTGGCCTAACAACGGCCGCCCTCAACAACATCTATTTGGGTGATATCAGCGGCGGAGCCAGTGTAAACGATTATGGAAATACAAACGATTCGGGTACCGAAGAAAATTCTCAGGAATCATGGAACAATTTACATGAAGACAATTCGATGGCCACAACCGATAATTGTAAGTGGAAAAAAACGCTAAACAAAATTGAAGTGTCAAATGGCATTTTACATTCACGTATCAAGTACGAAAACAGAAAATTCAAATTTTAGTCAAACTACCTTTTTTGTAAACAATTTCTGTAACTTCCTTAAGATCTTCAAAAAAAAAAAAAAATCATTCATCCAAAGCAACCTTAAAAGTTTTAATAAACACAGGGCGAACCCAGCAGATTATTAAAGTAGAATAAAGAATAGAAGACACCTGCATACCAGTTTACAATGCAAAGTAGCCTTAAAAGAGGAACCAAGTTCCCCCTCTACAACATTTTTTGAAAATTTTAGATTAAAATTCCTTAGAATCCGTAGATTTTAGGTTGATCTTCGGAATATTTCAGAAAACAATACGAGAAGTTTATATATATTAAAAAGCACATTTTATGGTTAAAGCCTTACTATGTGTGAGTTTGTGCAAAAATCTGCAAAAAAAACATTATTTTAAAAGGATGACGTCAAATACAAAAAATACAGGGTGAAATAAAAAAAAACTGCAACAAAGTCAAACGCCATAATTTTTACATTTTTTTTAATTCTATTGAATGAAAGCAAAAAATATCGGAAATAGCATTACAATTTAGAATAAGTTTGGATTTGGTCGAATTGATCACCTTTGGTACGAATTATGGCCTTCAAACGGCCCAAGGCTTTAATACACCCTCCATAATATTTTCGCGATAATATTCGACATTTATTCTGATGCCACAGTCGATTAATACGAGCAGAGAGCGACCATCGACTGTTAAGGCGGCAATTTATGCTGGCAGACTCGTATTATTGAAAACTTTTAAATGTATTACAAAAGTTCCCCCATCCTCATGTCCTCATGCCAACAACACCGACTGATACTGCAATTTTCATTTATTTTCCCTATTTTGTTTTTTTTATTTTAGCTTTATTCTAATCTCATTTCTCTTTCTTCCCTCTTTTTACAGCAAGTGCCGCCACCGATACAATTTCATTTCAAAATGGTTTGGGCATGTCACATCTCAACAATTCCAATTCCTCAACAACCAATGACTTTACCAATTCAATCAATTTGGCTGCATTGGCGGTGGCCAGTGCAGTGGCCAAAATGCCGAATTCAGCTAATCTTAACTCAAATACCTCATCAACAAGTGCCACAACAACAACAACAAAAAACACTACCACCACAACGACTCGTCGTGGTGGTGGCCGTCGTCCTACCACAAATGCCAGCCTAACGCCCGAAGAAGAGGAGAAACGTCGTGTACGCCGTGAACGCAACAAATTGGCCGCGGCACGTTGCCGCAAACGCCGTGTCGATCAGACCAATGAACTGACCGAAGAGGTGGCCGTGCTGGAGAAAAAACGCGAAGAATTGCAGAAACAAATTGAATCGTTGAATAACACGAAACAAGAATTGGAGTACATACTTGAAGCCCATCGTACATCATGCCAAATAAATCCCGATGTATTATCGGTAAATAGCCTGAGTGGTTTGATACCCGCCACGGATAATAGCAATATCACTGGCCTTGACACCACATTGTCGTCGACAGCCCGAAGTAATTCACCATTGGACTTGAAACCAGTATTGAATGATCAACTATTAGCTCAAATCAAACCTGAACCATTAGATTCTACATTGGATTCCAATTCATCACTAGATGGCCCTCCCTCGCCCAAGAAAATGTTGCTGTCCAACAATAATCCCATGATACCACCGCCCCTACCCAATGTAGCCACGCTATCGGCCTCCTTAGCCGCAGCCTCGTCTTCTTTGAACACACCCATTGTAACAACGCCACCCATTAGCTTTGGCTCAGTATTGTCCAGCAATTCCAATATGATAAAGCCCAATTCCAAACAACGTCCCAATTCCTTGCCCACAGTGCCCAGGAACATGGCCCAGACTTTGGCATTGAACATGGCCGATAATAAACCTCCTACAGACATTAATGGTGTAGCCATACAGACTCCATCAACGGGTATGTTCAATTTTGATTCTCTAATGGATGGTGGAACTGGTCTAACGCCCGTTTCCGGTCCCTTGGTGCCCACATGTTCTTCACAAAACAAACATCCTTTGGAATTGGTAACGCCCACTAGTGAACCCTCCAAGTTGGTGAGCTTATAACATGAACTGGAACTGGAGGAGTAGAGAAAAATGATAACAACAAAAAAAGAAACCTGTGACATCAGAGGAGAGAGAGTGCAAACGAAGCTGGTCTTAAAACAAATGAAAAATAAAAAAGCAAAAACAAAAACAAAAAAACTTTTTAAAAGCAAAGCCCCCCCCTTATATACTTTAAGCAAACAAAACTTTAAATTTCTTACAACAATTATTGATTGAAGAAGCAAAACCCAATTACTTTTTAAAAGTATATATAATTATTAATTTAAAAAAATGAAAAACAAAAATAATTTTTTATATGTTTAAACTAAAACAATTTATTGTTAAGTCTAAGAAATTTAAACTAAACCCCACAAGAAATGTGAACTACTAGAGAACCTAAGTTATTTCCAAATTGTTGTCCTTGTATTTGTTTAAAGAAAACCTCCCAAAACAACACAAAATGAGGACAGATTATAAAAAGAAAAGAAAAATAAATTATTTTCTAAATGATTGCAATCGAAACTATCCATTATTTAGTGTTTTAACAATAACAAATAGAAGAAGACTATGAAGGAACACATCCATTAAACTGCTTTAAAAAGAACCAAAAACCCCTGAAAAAAAGAACACAAATTGCTCGTTTTTGTAATGTAAGCCTACAGTTGATGAACGTCCAAGAGATTTCCAAGAAATTAAAATAATGCATGTTGAAATTGGCTGATGGATACTGTTATATGTTCTCTCTTTTTTTTGAATAATTTTATCTTTTTGCCACTTTTTCCTTTTTTAATTAATTCAATTTCAAAATAATGTATTATTATTTTTAATTATTTTATACATATACGACAAAAAGTTAATAATAAAACAAAACTACAATTATATTTTTTATGATATAAAAAACGATTTTTTATTACACCTTCTACATCTACATCGATCCAAGAAAAACAACACACTCCCATATACACACATACTACAGTACGACATAAAATATCAACCAAACTATTTTTTGTATGAATTAAAACGAAACGATTTACATTTGGCTTTATATTTTTTTTATAAAAAATATTTTTTATTATTATTGTATTTGCTGTTATAATTATTGTTTCTTTATTGATTGATTTTGTATTTGAATTCTCCTTATTTTTTATTTCTATGTGCAATTATTTAAAAAAATAAAACTAAAAAAACTATATTATATTTATTATTTTTGCAAACATTGAAAAAGAAACAATATTAAAAACAAAACAAAAAAAAAACGAAACAAAACTAAAAATAAAAAAATAATAATAAAAATCTAAATCAATACTTTGAATTTGGAGAATGAGAAGATTTTGAGGGAGTCTTTGGAGAGTTTAAATGACAGAGATTATAGGGAAATTTCTCAAGTGCTTTCTAAATAAAAATAAAAAAACAGAATTCAAAATATAAAATATTTTTATAGTCCCTTGAAGCTGATTTTCTGATTTAAGCGGCGTATTTGGCGCCCATGTCTTTCAACGGTCATACACTTATAATAAAGCCTCACTAAAGTATTTGCAGAATCTGTACATAAAGAAATGGACTTGATTTGCTTCCAGAAATGCATAATTTTTGGTCAGTTGTAGGAAGTGGTAAAACAAATAAAATATAATTATTGCAGAATGATGTTAACATCATGATGTCTTTGAAACAAGAAGACTTTGTTCCAAATCACACTCATGACTGAGCTACTACATGGTGAGATAAAAAACTGCAACAAAGTCAAACGCCATAATTTTTACATTTTTTTAATTTTATTGAATGAAAGCAAAACATGTCGGAAATAGCATAGAGTGTTAAAATAAGTTTAGATTAGTTTGAATTGGTCACCTTTCTCGCTGCTCGAATGTTGCTATGCGGTATTCTCGCGCATTCCTGGCGAAACTCTTGCTTGAGGTGATCGACTCTTTGGTATTTTTTAGTGTTAACCTTGCTTTCGACAATACTTCAGACACAATAGTCCAACGGATTGGTATCCGGAAATTTTGGTGGCCATTGAGCGGTGGAAATGAAGCGAGGAACCTCATTTTGTAACCCTTCTTGGGTGGCGCGTGCTGAGTGCAATGATGCTGAGTCCTGTTGGAATGTCCAAGGTCTGCGGCCAAAAGTTTGCGTGCCCAATGCTTTAATACACCATCCAGAATATTTTTGCGATATTTATTCTGACGTCACGGTCGATTAATACGAGCGGAGAGCGACCATCGGCTGTTATGGCGGCACACACCATCACCATGGACGGCGCTTAAGTTCTGGTGCCCAACCGAAGGTGCACATTTTCAGCTGACCTCTTTTGCAAGTAAACACGATCATTTTGTTTGTTTACAAACTTCTGGACAACGAATGATTTCTCATCGGAGAAAACCAAATTCCGCAGTTCACCACTTTCGGCCAAACGAAGCAACTCTTTAGCTCTTTTGAGTCTGTTTTCTTTCTGTTGCGGTGTAAGTTCTTGCATTTTTTGGAATTTCAATGGCTTTACCCCGAGCTCATTTTTCAATATTTGCCGAATGCAAAATATTGCAATATGTTCAGCTCACGAGCCATTTTTCAGCCACTGCAACGCGGGTTTCAATCAAGTCGTTTCCTTACTTTTCGAACCATTTTTGCTGATGTTGCTTTTTTCTTTCGTCCACTTCCTTGACGTCGGGTTACGCCATCAGTATCACGGTATCGAGCGATGGTACGAGACACAAAAGATTTATTCACATTTAAATGTTGGAGTGCTCTAACGATAGTCAAATATAAAGAAATCACATTACCACGCTTAAATTCCATCACGAATAACTTTTTTTCTGGGAAATTCTCACCAAAATGCTTTTTTAGGCTTGTAAACAATATAATGAGCTGTCACTGGAATAACTTCAAATCGCCCATTCCATTTATGTTGCCTATGTGAACCCTCTCAATCAAAAAAAAAAAGAAAACTAAACAAGTAATCATGGTAGAAATATCAGGTAGCAACATAGGCGAAAATTACAACAAAGCAACTTTTTTGGAAACTTGATATGTCAAAATTGAAAGCAAAGCGAATTTACCTGACATATAAAATTTGAAGCAAATTGGTTTGCACCAATCAGAACAATTTTGAAATATTGAAAAATATTGTTTATTTTTAAATTTTTATTGAAATTTCAAGCAAGGAAATGTTGTGTTGTTGTGAATTGTACTGTTTTGTACGTTTCCCGGTTTAAGAGAACTCGATAAAAGCAAACAATACCATATAAAAATGCGTTAAATGCCGTGAAATGGAAATCTCAATGGAAACAAATTCAATAAGAATTCAGAGAACTCAATATATGAGGAAGGAACCATCAACAATATCAACATTAAACGGTGAATTTCCGATCTCTACCATCTTTATTACAGATCTTGTGTAGATGAAAATATTCAGATGTACCAAGTCTCAATAGAAACGGATGTTAATTTCTCGTTTTATGAGCTTCATGGATTTTCAAAATTTTGAGCCTTTGTGGGAGAGGCAAAAAAGCTTATCTTGAGTTAGTAGAAATAATCGGATGTGTAAAATATAAAAAGAATGTGATGCCTGTTTCGGATTCAATAAAGGTTTTGGTTATTCAAAAAAATATTGGTATATGTGAAATGTTGACCCTTTGTGGGGGAGGTACTTGATGTAGTGGAACGATGTTGCCTATTTCGCACCTAACCTAGCACTGATGGCGTTTTGTGAGGCAAGACCGATTCCCATCTTGATCTTATTTTGATAGATGAATTACGATGCGCCAAATTTGGACAAAATCGAATACTCCTTCCTTATCGTGCGTACAAACAGACTGTAAGGCGGACATCGCTAAACGGACTCCAAACGTCTGAAACGGATTACGTCCAAAGAGACCTAGGATTCAAAACCATTATTTCGATGCCATTTGGTTGAGTAGTATAAGGAATTCTAGGTTTATTTGTTGTTTCCGTTTGAAGTTTAAATTTATGTTATGTATCTGTAAGGCGAATTCAAATTACAACAATTTTTTTGACGTATCAAATTGATACCAGCTGGCGTGAAAGGGTTACCTTGTAATTCTACCATGCAAGTAATTGTTAAACTAGGACCAATATTTTGAAGTGTTACAAACTGTATGTTCCAATCAAACGTATAATACCCCCAACACATACGTTCTGTTCCAGCACCTACAAGACTAGTTTTGCCTTTTTTTTTATTTATTTATTTATTTTTTTTTTTTTTTGATATCATAAAGGCGAAACTGTTCATCGTATCGTAGTAAAAAGTTTTACATTACTATCAGCGCAATAGTCTTGTAGGGTATAAAAGGGATCCATAGTGACTTTTTTGAAACTCCTTCATTGACTAATCATGTGAGTACTATTCATCAATGAATTTAAACATTTCAAAGGGCCCCATAAAATACACTCATTTAAAGAAATTCATTGGTCCTTAACAACAAATGTTATATTAAAAAAACCCCAAGTCAGGCGTTGTGATATTTATAAATAATATAAGCAGATAACAATTATTAATAATAAAATATTTATAGATTTATAATAAAAACAAATATATTTTTTCGCTTTTTATAAAAAATGAAGTGTATTATAAGTTTTTTTCTGATGGACATGGCCTTCAAAAACTAAAGAATTTTTAATAGTAGGATGCTAATAAAGTAAAATTTTAATATTTTACACTGACACACAAATGATAAAAGCCTTACATAAATGTTATTATTTAGTTTTGTTTTTTTATTTATGGAATAAATTCAATGGACTTTTTTAAATATTTTGCTAAACCTATTGGTATTATATTGTATATCTTGATAAATTTACAACATACATTGTATTAGCTTTTTTAATTACAATGAAATGCTAAAAATTATATATATTTTTATAAAATGAATAGAAATAAGGGAAACAAGCAATTCTTTATTTTTTTGGCATAGAAATACAAAGACAAAGCAAACGACATGATGAAAAATAAAACAAGAACATGGAACATTTGTAGCTTTAATCGATCACTAAGTAAAAAAAAAACTAAATAAAAATTAAATTGATATGAACGAAATAGGGAGAAAAATAATACAAAAATTAATAATAAAAAATCGATTTTAATTGATTTTTGTCTGAGAAATGTATTTTAATGTCCAAAATTACTAAAGAAGAAATACATTTCTTTAAAAATAAATAATTTATAACTAATAATAACGGCAAATAAATGCATTAATAACAGAAAAACTAACTAACACCAAATGATTTAAACAATTATTATTTAAATATAAATAAAAATAAATCTAAATAAAAAATAATAAAATATGATTGACTTTTTATTATGTTTTTGGAAAGCAAAAATAGTAAGTATTGTCTGTATAACTAAACAACAGATCATCATTGCTTTGCTGGGTAAGAGGCATTTTGGGGGCATTTGTCCTAGAGCAGTCCTAATAAAAGCAACTTAAATTGAAAATGTTTTTTTAAATTTATTATTATTTTCTTTTATTAACTGAAGGCAATGCCTTGCCTTGATAAAACGGAAATTAAGGATAATCATCCTACAGGAGAATAACTAAGCAAATTAATACACAACGAAAACTTGGTTTGTTGGAGTACCAAACCTTGTGTTTATGTATTATTTGTAATTGAAATTTGAAGAACCTATATGTAATTGGAACATTAAGAACATTAATTTAGATTTTGAACTGAAATTGTTTTCAAAATCCAACAACGATACATTTTGTTCTACAAATTACTGAAGAAACCAATATCAATAACGTCTTTATTGGATGAGATATTATAAATTTATTAAAAATCCTTCAACCAATGAATTTTAACTTTTATAAATAAGAACTTTCCGTGATCCTGAAAGTATGCTTTGCATTTTGTGTCTAAAGAAAAAATATGAAAATAAAACTTGTAATGAAGGCAATCCCTATATGAGATGTCTACTATTTAGCAAATGCAGATTTCGTTGTTTTTCATTTTCATGCAACAGGCGATCAGAAGAGAACGGTAGGCAGATTTCAACACACGTTTGCATTCAAAAGCAAATATTTCAGTCAAATCTAAACCGATTTTAAAAAAAGTTGGATAGATTTAAAGAGAAAAGATCTCTCTCTATCCCTGCTTGGAAACATGTCGTAAAATTATTGTCAATTTATAGTAGAAAATCACAAAAATTTGGAAAATTGCAAGACATGTAGTATAGAAACGAAAAACGCGTCAATTATTAAATATAAAAATTTACTATAGACTACTAAACTGGAAATGTTTCAATACAGGCCAATAGTAAGCAGTTTAGAGCTAGTTAAAGCAAATGCCTACATTCACATGTAGTTTGAATATTTTAAAGAAAGCATAAAATATTAGAAAGTCATATGAAAAGAACAACCTTTACTTGATGTTAACTCAACCTTTAAGTATTTTAAAAGCCAATCGATTTCACAAAGTAGAGAATAACAAAGTTCAACATTTTAAAGGAATTTTTTAAAGACCAACAATATTACGTGGCTCTTTTTAAGAATTCCTAGAAAAGTAATAAACATCTACGAGATTTTTTTAACAAACGGACTAACAAAGCTAAATCATTATTTTTTGGAGAATTTTTATAACAATTTAAGCGTGATAGCGTGATATTTTTATATTTGGCTGGAAAACCACAAGTGGCTATCATTAGAGTACTCCAGCATTTAAATGTGAAAAAATAGTTTGTGTCTCGTACCATCGCTCGTTACCTTGATACTGGTAGCAGAAATGGTTCAAAAAGTAAAGAAGCGACTTGATCAAAGCCCGCGTCGAAGTGGCCGAAAAATGGCTCGTGAACTGAACATATCGCAACATTCCATTTGGCAAATATTGAAAATGGAGCTCGGAGTAAATCGATTTAAATTCCAAAAAGCTCGAGAACATACACCGCAACAGAAAGAAAATAGACTCAAAAGATCTAAAGAATTGCTTCGCTTGGCAGAAAGTGGTGAACTGCCGAATTTGGTTTTCTCCGATGAGAAAACATTCGTTGACCAGCTGTTTGTAAACAAGCAAAATGATCGTGTTTACTTGCCAAAGAGGTCAGCAGAAAATGTGCACCTTCGGTTGGTTGGATGGTGTGTGCCGCCATAACAGCCGATGGTCGCTTTCTGCTCGTATTAATCGACCGTGGCATCAGAATAAATGCCCAATATTATAGCGAAAATATTCTGGAGGGTGTATTAAAGCATTGGGCTCGCAAACATTTTGGCCGCAGACTTTGGTCATTCCAACAGGACTCAGCACCATCCCACTCAGCATGCACCACCCATGAATGGTCAAAAAATGTGGTTCCTCGCTTCATTTCCAGCACACAATGTCCACCAAAATCTCCGGATACCAATCCATTGGACTATTGTGTCTGGAGTATTTCGGAAAGCAAGGTAGGCTCTAAAAAATACCAAAGTGTCGATCACCTCAAGCAAGCGCTACGCCGGGAAAGGGCCAAAATACCGCTGAGCAACATTCGGGCAGCGTGTGACTGTTTCATTGGCCGTTTGTAGACCATAATTCGTACCAAAGGTGAACAATTCGAACAAATCTAAACTTATTCTAAAAACTGATGCTATTTCCGACATTTTTTGCTTTCATTCAATAAAATTTAAAAATTATGGTGTTTGACTTTGTTGCAGTTTTCTATCTCACCCATTATAACTTAAATTGTGATTTTTTAAAGAGTTTTAACAAAAGAAGTGACAGCTAAATCGTTTTTTAAGAATTTTTAAATTGCTTAGCTTAATAGCGATCTTTTTTCTTTAAAGATTCTCATAAAAGGATCATCGGAGCAAACAGTGCATTATTTTAAAAGTATTTCAAGCCAAAGAACCAGAGCAACTAAAACGTGGATTTTCTAAAATATTTTTTTAATAATTACCAGAGCTAAATCGATTTTTTTAAAGGAGAATTCAAAACGATTTTTTATTTGTAACGTTCCATATAAGTCAAATTCTATTTGGAAGATTTTTCAGAGATAAATTAAAAAACATTACTTTCGTATTTTCTGTGGTATTGTACGTTTATTTAAAATCCACTAAACAATGACGCATTTTAAAATAAGTATTTCTAAGCCCCTAAAAGTATGCTTTGTATTTTATGTAAAAAGCAAGGTTTATGAAAACACGTGTGGTGATGGCAATCTCTGTATGAAAGTTCTACTTTTTAGCAAGTGCAAAATGAGTTGTTTTTCATTTCCATGCAACAGGCGCCCAGAACAAAACTGTAGGCAAATTTCTGCACATTATTAATTTCAAATGCAAATATTTCCGTCAACCCTTGACCGATTTTTACAAAAGTTTCACAGCTGGAAAAAGAAAGCGTTTAAGTTTCTCTGCTAAGGAACATTTGGCAAAACTATTATCGATTTGTAGAAGAAAATCACAAACATTTGGAAAGTTGCAAGACATTTGAAATAACAACAAAATGTTTTTAACTTTTGAATTTGAGAACATACTAAAGACTACTGAACAGCATTTTTCTCAATTCAGGCCAATGATAAGCAGTTAAAGGCTGCTTAAAGAAAATACCGAGACGTGAATGTAGTTTTAAAAATGTCAACAAAAACATTAAATATTGGAAATCTTTATTAAAAAAAACGTTTCTCTGATGTAATAATTTTGACAATATTACAATATTATTAGCATTTCATCATAGTGAAAGATTTTAATAGAATTTTAGGAATTTTTGGTAAAATAGTTACTGATCTAAACCGTGGATTTTTAAAGAATTTTAGCAAAAGAAATTACATTTCCGTGGATTTTCCCAATAAATTTATATTTTTTCTCTCTATATTCTTAGTAGCAATATAATATAGTTCTTGGCTAGGCGACATACTTGAACTTACTTCTCAAATAATATTCTCAGTTCCAGACTTTAATATGGGATCATTAACAATTTTCAAATACTCAGAGAAAAGCTAGAGAAATATTACAGGGTGAGATGAAAAAAGTTGCAAACAAATTCAGACTGCTGTCATTTCTAAGCCACTCATCCCACAGCTATTTAGATTATTCCAGTGACAGCTCATTATATTATTTACAAGCGTACACAAGTATTTTGTTAAGAATTTTCCAGAAAAAAAATTATTCGTGATCGAATTCAAGCGTGATAGTCTGATTTTTTATAAATACCGCAGAGCAACATTCGGGCAGCATGTGACGGCCATAATTCGTGCCAAACGTGACCAATTCGAACAAATGTAAACGTATTCTAAAATTTGATTTTCGACATTATATATATATATATATATATATATATATACACATATATATATATATATATATATATATATATATATATATATATATATATATATATATATATATATATATATATATATATATATATATATATATATATATATATATATATATATATATATAAATTATGACGTTTGACTTTGTTACAGTTTTTATCTCACCCTTTATATCACAAAACAACAACAATATAACAAAAAAACCCTTTAACTCCCAATACTCTACAATAAACTGCCACACGTTTTGCATGCGATATACTAGACGTTTACTCTCCATTCATGATGTTGTTTTTTTATTTTTGATAGCTCGGCTTGCTGCTGTCTGTTATTCAGAATAAAAATTTCCCTACGCATGTTATACCCAATGTATCGACAGCATTTTGTTCAGTATGAGAGTTAAACGTCCATTGATAACATCAACACTGCACGAATCGGAAAGCAACATCCTCCCGGTCTTAAAACGACAACCAAAAAAAAAAAGAAATAAAATAATAACTGAACGCTCAGTTTGAAGTTTATTCAAACAAGTGCGCTGTTCTCTGCATTAATTCTTCTTGATGAAGTTCAAGAGCCTTTTGTTGTAAAAATAAGCAACAACAACAACAGAAAACGAAAGAAAATAAAAACGGTGACAAAAGCAAAATATTAAAATTACACTTATACATTTTACACTAACAAATATGCTGCGCCGGGCTGTATCACGTTGGTTGGGCTGGGGTGCCAATCACACGAAAGTTTCACCGCGCAATGTCATCCTTATAACTGGCTGTGATTCTGGCTTGGGGTAAGTTGTAAAAAAAACTATTTTCCATGGGAATAACATAAAATTGAAAGCATGAAATTATAATTCACACGAATTTTGATTTTTTTTATTTTAATCGCAGGTTATAAACAAATTAAAATTAAAAAAAAAAATAATAAAACAAATTCGCAAAACAGAAATCTAACCTAATAAATTAAATATATCACTGTTATGTTGTTGTTGCAAAATGTTCAGCCTTAATCCCTTTATTGTTGTTTTTATAAAAACAACGTTTGTTTATTGGTGGAGAACGATGGTAATGTTTACCAGGGTGTAAGGTAGGGAATACCTAGGTTTTGGAAAGAGCCACCAATTCTCATCAGTTCCCTTGTTTTTTGTCTGGGATATTCTCCCCAGAAGTTATTTTAAAAATAACTTCTATGTCAAAAAACTTTTTTTACCCAAGTGACGAGATCGTAAGCTCAATAGAAGGGGAACCAAAGAATTAAATAAAACAAAAATGTTTATCTTAATCTTAACAGAAGTACATTTTTGCGTTAACCCATTCGTTGTGGAGACATACTTTCAATGTGTTTATTTGACGGTACACGTCCAACATTTTGTTGACCTGTTTATTCCTTCAATGATATCCAAAAGTGACACCATATGGTACCGTCGCTGTGATTGGGTTAATCAGCTCTCTCAGCTTAATTTTAGCCAAAATACATATGTGGTACGATATGGTACGGTCGCAGAGCTTGAGTTAACTTGTTAAGTAAGACAGATCCCATTTCAATAAATCTTAAGATAAGAGAGAGGTTTTTCTTAAAATAGTTTGAGATATACATATGAATATAACTCAATTCATATATACATACCTTCAAGTGATTTCGAATTTAACTTGGTACATCATTCTTCTTGTCTCACTACTTTAGTTAAAATCAATTCAGATTTATTTTTAAGTATATTCCAAAAATCTCGACCCAAATAGAATAACTTATTTTCCGAACTCTCCCACTCTATAGAAATTTCCTCAATCAGAAACAAACTCATTCACAAACATTTGACTTTCAGATTTTCCTTGGCCTTGTATTGCCACTCATTGAATATGACCGTCATTTCGGCATGTCACAATGCTAATTCTCCGGGTGCAAAACTGCTGCAGCACCTGAGCGATCCCAAGCGTATGATAACCATTGAATTGGATTTATGTAAACCGGATACCATTGAAGAGACACAAAAACGTCTGCAGGAATTAATAATGAATCCAAATGATGAACAACAATATCAATTTACGGCACTGGTCAATAATGCCGGTACTATGTGTTTCGGAGAATACGAATGGCAAACATGGCAGCAAATTGAAATGCAAATCAATGTTAATTTATTGGGAACGATGAGACTAACCAAGACATTGATGCCGCTAATACGTCAACATCGGGCGCGTATTATCAATGTAACAAGTCATTGTGGTCTGCAGGTAAGATATATAATTACTTCATCATTTTATTCAATTGATGTATTTTTTCGGGACTTCAAGGCACTGCCAGCTTTATCGGCATATGCAGCCACCAAAGCAGGATTGCGTTTTTGGACCGATTCTTTACGCATGGAAATGCAGCAATACGGCGTTGAAGTTATTAACTTTATTCCCGGGTCATTTGTGATGTCGAGCAATATTTCAGCACGCCAGCAGGAACATGCCAAAGCCATGTTTGAAGAGTTCACCGAGGAGCAACGTGAATTTTATGGAGCATATTTCAAACGATTCAATGATTATCTAAATGTGGTGTCTGGTTTCAAACCCCCTAATGCGGTAAATGATCAAAATCTATTGGAAAAATTTAAAGAATGTTTAACAACTAGTCAACCAAAAACTATATACATACATGAACCATGGCGGTAAGTAAATTCAACATTTAATAATATATAAATTAATAATAATGAAAACAACATTTAATTTTTGTTTATAGTTATAGATGGTATCGTTATTTATTCCGCATTTGTCCTGCTCCCTTTGTCGACTGGCTCTGTATAAAATTCTGTGCAATGCCCACATACCAACAGGTTCAAAAGGAATTGCAATTGACTACAAGTAAAAATAATTGTCTCTAGAATATTTGCAAACAAGCAGTTTTTTGTAATGTTTAATATCTGTTAATATTTTTATTTAGAACTTTAGTTAAGTAATATTTAAATATAAATTAAAATGAAGTTTATATAAAAAGTCGTTTTTTAATAAAAGTAAAATAATTTAAAAAATATTTGGAAGTTTCAAACCCAAAAGACTGCAATCCACATTTTTCTTATTAGAATTTTTAACGTGGCAAAAATATTTCCCTCCGTTTATTTTTATTTGATTAAATTACATCAAACCAAATCAAATTACAAACGATTTTTATAACTACACTACAAAAGAACAGCATATCTCAACATGATGGACTAATGCCATCATACAAGCCATTAAAATATTAGGCATTAAAATATCACACATTGACACTTCTTTATCTGAAATTTAAAAAATGGTTCTAAAGTTATAGAGGAATAAATTTTAATACGATTTAAAACAACTCCAGCACGGATCTATATCACATATCGAATCTTTTACACTCGTGCCAAATGTCTAGAAACTGAGTTTCTACGATGCCTGAAAACTTTGTCTTTTCAAAGTTGCTTTAGTCATGTAAAACATAACACTTTAACCAAATCGTTCTGAAGAAAAATTATGAGAAATTTGTTTTACAAAAAAAATAAATTTATGTATAACATTTCATTTGTTGATAATCAATATTCTTAACTAAATTAATAATGTGAATTTTGTGGTAATTGTTGATTTGAATTGTCCCAACCACTATCCAAGGAATCGTCGGAACCTCCACGACCGAACAAAGCCATCAAATATATCAGTACCACAAAAGCCAAGACACCGCTCAGTACCAAGAACCATGTTCTTCTCCAAGGTGGTCTCGAAGAAGGTGCATAAAAACGTCTAGACCAACGAGAAAATATTTCAGCTGGAGTACGTCTAGCGTATTTATTTTCATCACGATCCGTACCACCTATGGGCGATTGTCGTGGCAGCAAAGGACGACGGCTGCTGGCTGTTGAATTTTTCAATAACTATAATTTCTATACAATGTGGAATTACGTTTTACAACTTACCGTGTATATCACTACTTGAAGGTGGATTAAATGCATCCATAAGTAAAACGGAATGTGGACTGTCACTTTTCATTGTAGTATTTGCAAAGACCGCACCATTGGCTTTTGAGCGTTCCATAGCATTGCTGCTGCCACTACTACTGTGGTGAACCTTTGTCATACTGCTCATGGGAGCTGAAGCTGTTTGGGAGGTTGATGATGGGGATGACACATTTGAAATATACTTAGCACTGGGAACTTGCTCGTCACTCAACTATAAGAACAAATTACATATAAATGTAATTGGAAATCATATTGATCATCAGTTTTTAAACATGAACATACCAATGTTAGACCCAGTCCATTACGTCCCCAGTTTGCTTGAGATAATTTCTGTTTTAGAGCATCAGCTACTGGAGATACCAAATTTGTAGTGGGAAATATTTCAGTATCGCATACAGGACAAGTGTGCCCTCTGGGCGCCGTATTTGCCGGCAATGCAGCTTGTCGAGCATTCAAACAATCCCAATGGAAAACATCTGAAAAATAGTTTAAATATCAATTTATTATCAACTTATAATATCATCATTTGCGGATACAACTTACGATAGCACACTAGTCGGACACATTCACCTTCTTCTAGGCCAGTAGAGCATAGAGTACAATTCGACACATAGTCACTATCTCTGAGCCACTGCAGATACGATTGCACTATGCACTGGAAATATTAAAATTAGCTATATACATATGCTGAACTCCGCAAAACCAACCAATATTACCTTAGGATGGCTTTGCACCATACAATGTTCACAGACATTGACGCGATGTTCAAAGCAGAATTGATTCGTCACACTTCTTTTGGGACATTTGCACAAACCCATGTTTGATTGGTATTTCTAATATGTTATGTCTTTCTCAATAAAAATTAGGGCTAGCACATTTAATTCCTTCTAATACATTTGCGTTTGAAATAATTACACTACATTTATTATTTTTATTATTTATTCTTTTCGTTCGGTCGTCTTGTAGGAATTTGACAATTTATTTATTTTTTTCTCAAATGACAGGCCACGTCCAAGGTAGATGTACTAGGTAATCGCATCAGCCCAGCTGACGGCACCATTAAATGTCAAAACAAATTGTTGTAATGAAGAATTCGCCCTAAATGAATGCAACAACAAATTTGTTTATGTTGTCTTCCAAGGTAGATGTACTATGTTAGATGTTAGATCTACCTTGGTTGTCTTCCCTAAAAGTAACTTTTTATAATATTTTAAATAATTTAAGAGCAAGTTTAGAGTAAAACTAGTATAAAAATTAAAAGAAAATGAAGGAAGGAGGTTAGAATGGAGTGCAGCTTTAAGAATTGAGTTAGCCTCAACATCTAAGATTTCCAAAGCACATCACGAGAAGTAGTGCAAGAATTCGACTCTTGCCATTTGCAGTCCCGGAAAACTTGCGGTTTAAACCAGTAAAATATAGTCATTATAAGTTTCTGGGTTTAAAAAATATCGCAATTAATACTTATTTTACTCTTATTTGTTTTACAATAAAAACTTTTATTGCGACGTTCTTTTACGACGAGAGGCACACAAAATAAAATGTAAACAAACACCTCGTTTCTGATTGGTTGAAACAAATTTGCCGCAACCTTTAAATGTCATGGCGAATCTATGTTTTTCGCCTTAGATGCCAATTTTGACATTTGAGGGGACCACAAAAGTTGCTTTGTTGTAGCAATTCGCCGATGCGGTTACCTGTTAGATCTACCTTGGCCACGTCATTTTGACAATTTACCAAATGTATTTTTCGCCTTGGATGCCAGTTTTGACATTTAAAGGTACCACAAAAGATGTAGCAATTCGCCGGCCATAATATGGTAGAAGAATACAGGTAGTCGCATAGACAACCATTTTTGAAATTGAAAATTTCGAATGAAATATTATTCAAATTTCTTAAAATTGTTAAAAAATGCTTATTGTAATAACATTTGATTCGGCTTACAAGAAAACATATAAAAACTATATGTTTAAAAAAAAGCTTTTTAAAGTGTGTGAAAAAAACCTTTTAAAGATAACTAAAATTCAAAAGCAATCCCATTTAACAAAAGATAACTGCAATGAGATTCGAAAATAATTCAATTAAACCAAATAAATAAACAACACTAACCATGCTAGAAGAATACAGGTAGATACAACAACGTTTGGGAACATTGATATTTCAAAAATGTTTTTTTCAAAAATAAGTAGATATGATTTTCAACAATTTTAACGAATTTGATTAATTTTGCATTTAACATTTTCAATTTCAAAATTCAACATTCAACAACATACAAAACAGAAGAAGAAGATATTGAGAATGAAAAAAAAAAAACAAGCAGGCTATCGGAGCAGAAAAATGACGCCTTGCACACTAGAAAATTTATTTTAATATAAAAAATAAACAAGTAAAACCATAGTGAAATAAAGAAGGTAAAGTCATTTGAAATAAGCATACCCATCTCTGCATTTTCTGTAATTTTCATTGTCACATTACATAAAAACTGGTTCCCATCTTTGATTTGTGTATGTACAATGGATTTAAAAATACAAATTTTGACAATGAGATGTTGTCAAATGAATAATTTTTGAAAAATTTGTAATCATATGATTGCACGACCTTGCATCCTTGATTCTACCAGAGTAAAACATAAAACAGTGCTACAGTGAAATATTAAAAGGTTATGATTTTAAACACTCTCTTTATTACTTTACATGCAATTACGTACGAAGATGGATTTTAAACCCTGTTTCACTCAAGCGGGGAAATATTCTAAATGTTTAAATCGAAAATATTAACCAACCAATCATCAATCGTTATTATCTTATTGTGATGATGTATCTTCTGAAAGTGGTTAACTGTTGTTTGATAATCATCCAAACCGGAAACATCGTCGTACGGAGAAAGCTGTTAAAATTGTTGTTATGCACCCATCATAATATGTTTACCGCTGATCTTTTTTTGCTACGGCTTCTATGCTTCTCGTTATTTTTTTGGGACATACTTTGTCATCATCACTCTTTAAGAAACACAAATCATTATTATATTCATATGATCTTAATTCATTGGAACTGCACTGCACTTTGCTGATGGCATGGCAGAAGAATGCAGGTAGATGCATTAACGCTTAGGAGCATTGATATGTCAAAAATTTAAATGTTTTTGCAAATCTAAGTAGATTTTTATATGTTTTCCTATACAACGTCATTCGGAGGCTATTACAATTGGCATTTTCCAACAATTTCTACAAATTTTAATAATTTTTCATTCAACATTTTCAAATCCAAAATTGGTTCGACAGTTCAATGTCCCAGCAGCTTTGTCGACGCGTCTACCTATCTTCTTCTGCCATGGCTGATGGACATGCTTGATATAATGAATCTGTGGTCTATTATTGTTTTCACCACCGTACGTTCACTTTGATTTAACATCACTATTTTTGTGGAACACTATTCTTCGGTTAATTCTGTTGAAATTTCATATGTTTTCCTTTTTTGGAGAGTACCATGGTATAATTGTTACAGGTAACAGCAAGTCCCAGCTCACTTGACTCTATAGTGATACTAGTGTCAAACTCGATATGACGTTTTGTGATTTAATTCCATTTCTTGATGTACAATAGGTATACACTTTTTTGATATAAAATTTCAGTGCAGGGCAATGTGAACATATTTTTTGCCTAATAATAGAAAAATTCGCCGTTGTACTTAACAAAAAGCCGAAGGCGATGGTTCGGAAACTTTTTTTTGCGGTTAAGGAACAGCGACACCACGTTAGATAACATATTCGTATATTTCATGTTTCCTAAAATTACAAAATGTAGAATACTTTATGCATGTATACTGTTTGGTTTCAACTTGAAAGGTTACATTCATTTTTGGGATTTTTCTTAAAAATTAAACATTGTGAGGAAACTATCTAATAAACAAAAACAACATGTTGCATTTGTTAATAGTAAATTTGAAGTTTTTCCTATTTAACCAAATCCATTGAAAAATTAAATTTTAAACACCTATTTTTATTTTAGTTAAGTTCAATTTACTTTTAATCCAACCATTCTTTCATATATTGGCATTTAGTTGGCGTTACATCACCACAAGTTGAACAATTTTTAATTACAGGACATATTCCACAAGGCATTTGGACTAAGCCAGGTGGTGCCAAGGGAGAATTTATAGCCCTATAAACATGACTGCCATCAGACATTAAAATTCTTTCAGCATTTCCATCATACACAACTGTCTTCAGAATTGTCTCCAAGTCATCCTCATCCAAATTAACCTTAATTGAGAACAAAAATTAATATACTATTAGTAAGTGTAAATGAAATCTTCGTTTAAAGTTTTACCTTACTAATACCCAAATCAGATATAAATTTATGGACCTCTTTTACAGTACAGCATGAGAGTTGCTTAAATGCCAACGGTCCTTCACGTTTCTTTTCAGCATTATCACGTTTCATTTGCAAAAACCTTAAACATTGCTGATTTAAGACATCAACAAATTCAGCTTCAAAATCTTGATCTTGATACCAGGCTCCGCCAGTTACCGAACGATCCGGTTCCAGATTGTACAGCATATACACCTTCTTCTTGCTAGCCTACAATCGAAATCGAGTAAAGTTATCGGATAATTGAAAAAAATATTTCGTTCTTGCATTGACTTACGTTAACAGATTTTACTGCCTTTATTAATTTCTTTGTTTCCAGGTTTTTTAAAATTTTATTCAGCTGCGTCATATTTAAATTCGATTGAATTCTTATATCACGAATCCATATGCCCTTACTGCCACCTTCTTCTATGATACCGTATACTATTTTTTCCTCATTGTCGGCATCTTTGGGCAAGGCACTCTTTTTTGGATCTTTAGCTCTATAGAAAAGTTTGTCTCCTTTTTTCAAAATTTCTATAGATCCCTGTTTAAGTAGTTTATTTAGACCTTCAACTCTTACTGCAGCCGTTATATCAGGCAGACTTTTTTCCAAGTCTTCATTATTGGCACCAGCCGGAATACCCTGGATTACCGCCAAAATTTGATGAGATATGTCATCGCCCGACATTATGCTATATTGAATATAGTATTTAAATATTATTTATTTATTATTTTCCATCAAATAATCCCTGATTATGCACTTCATCCGACAATTGAGTACTAGTTTAAACGTGCCTTAGTCTTTTTGTCATATGAAGGGCTCACAGCTATACCGAACTAAGTCATAAAAACATAATTCGAAGATATTTAGAGGTAAAGTAAATGCACTGCCATTAATTTCTGGAAGGAATATTTTAGTCTACCAAAAGAAAATGTAAAAGACTATATTCAAAATTAACTAATGATATTAATTTAAAATAAAAATAATTTAAATATATTACTAAAAAAATATTCAAAAACAAAAAAACCTACTTTGGTTCATTATTACTCTGAATAAAATTTGAAGGTTTCACAGCTAAAGAGAACCAAGTCAAAAAAATAAAATAAGGTGTTCGTTATATGACTAAATATAGTTCACTTCAGCGATTAATTTCCCACTAGTTTCGGAGTTTTATTTTGAGTCATGTTTTGCTTTAGCGGCTGGCAGCTGCGTGTACATCTGTTGTAATTGACAACCATTGTGATTTTTAGGAAAATAAAATAAATTCATTTAAAAAAAAATAATAAATTAATGTTAACAAGGACAAAGGAAAATTTAAGGTTTCAACTATGGTAGAAAAAGATGGTAAAGTCATGCAATTATATGTTTACATTTTTATACCCTGCACCATAGTATGGAGGGTATATTAAGTTTGTCATTCCGTTTGTAACACCTCGAAATATACATTTTAGACCCCACAAAGTATATATATTCTTGATCAGCATAACAGTCTATCCGTCTGTCCGTCTGTGGAAATCACTCTAGCTTCCGAACGAAATGAAGTAAGTTGATAAAAATTTACTCAAATGCGTATTATGACTGTAGGACTTTTGGTATTGAAAATGGGCCATGTAGGTCCACGTCTCCGTATAGCCCCCATATAACGGTGTCCCCCGATATTCGGTGTTTTGATGATTTTAGCGATATTACTTACCGGAACTATTTCAAATTAAGTATTTGAAGTTCGTAATGAATACTACAGCCTATGACAGAAAATTGTATGTGCAGCTCCACGTTTTCATATAGACCCTAATATACGGCTTCATTCGGTATTTTTAAGATTTTAACTGAATTTTTAATGGATTTAAATTTTTTGAAAATTGCAAAATTTGTACCAAATGGTGGAGGGTATTCAAAGTTCTTCCCGAACTTACAGCTTTTTTACTTGTTTCTTTTTTTCAACGTTGCAGGGAAAGTTGACAGGGTAAATTACAGAAAATGCAGAGATGGATATGCTTATATGAAATGACTTTACCTTCCTTATTTTACCATGGTTTCAACAAATATTTACACATAAAAAATTCGTCATTTCCGTTTTCATCATTTTTGGGGCTGGCAAATATTCCTCATTTTCATTACTGGAAAAATCACTAGTGCTGCTATTATTATATCCATTTATAGAAAACACTGATTTTTTTTTAATATTGCTGAAAACTGAACGACAATAAACACGTTCTCACTAATAGTACTGATTCAACGTGAAACACACTGACTTGGTTCATTTTTGCTTTGAAAAAAGTCGAAATTGTCAGTCGTTGACTTAGGTTTTTTACCGTTATCTTTGGAACGAAACACTTTTTGACATTGTGCTTTATAGAGTAAACAGAGTTTCCATATACCGGGACATTGGCACTAATTTCGGAATTTTTTATTTTTCATGACTTGGTTCGGTATAGCAGTGAGCCCTCCATATAACAATTTGAATAGTTAAGACACAAACCAACCAAATACCGTTTTGTAGTGGACTATCTAAACACGAATGCTTGTCAAAAACATCTGGTTGATGTTGATACAATACTAATCGAAAAGCAACAACAAATCTAACAAAAGCATATTAAGTTATTGCAACAGACAAAGTACAAATTATCGCTTTAACTTCTAAAAATGCCACTTACCTATAGTGACGGTGAACCCAGAGATTATGAGGAAGCAGAGGAAAACTATTTTCAGCAAATTAAAAACAAGGCAGCAAAGGTATTTAATAAATAAACCGGATAGGGTCAATACACAGCACGCGTTTCAGTCATTGACAACAAACTAACTAGAGGGTTGCCAATATCTACCAAAAATCGAACAAAAATGGCAAATCAAATAATTAATTTCATTTATTTTTAGATCGGTTTTGCTGATGGGGTTGCAGATGGCCGAGATAGTGTATTTCAAAAGGGATTCGATTTAGGTTACAAGGATGGATTTCGAACCAGCTTCGAAATAGAGAAATTCCGCAATTTCTTCAAAAATATAAACAAAAGCAAGTTGGAACCAGATAATTGTCTATTGCGTGAAAAAGAAGAGTTCGACAAAATGAATTTGAAAGAATCGACTTCTCCTGATCACTTCCAATATACAAAACATAAAGATGAGTCCCTGACATCCATATCGCAAAAACAAAACCAGTACATTGACCATGTAATCGACGAATGTGAACACACTTTGCCGAATTCTGCAGCTTTATTAAAGTGCCAAGCAAAAAGTACAAATTCTGTCTAATTCATTATCTTTTAATTTTCTTCTTTAAAAATGAAAATTTTTGCATTGTAATATTAGTAGTACATGTAAATTATATTTTGTATTAAATTTCTTCGACATTTATAAATAAAGTCCCTCTGGGGTTCCTTCCTTTTTGCGATACAACACACTTTCTTTTGACTTTTTGAAATCTTCATTTGTTACTTTCATACGTCTTTCGCGAAGAGCCATTAAACCAGCCTCTGTGCAAATGGCTTTGATGTCAGCTCCCGACAGATCATCTTTAGCCATAATCAGCTCACTTAAGTTAACATCTTCAGCCAGGGTCATACGTGAAGTGTGAATATTGAAAATGCGGCGCTTTGTTTTTTCATCTGGCAGGGGGAATTCAATTTTACGATCAATACGACCCGGGCGAATAAGAGCAGGATCCAGAGTCTCAATTCGATTGGTTGCCATAATGACCTAGAAAGTGCATTCAAAATAGATGTGTTTTAAAAAATTGTACTATATTCACTTTTTTGTTTTTAATATGTTACCTTTACGTCACCTCTGGAATCAAAACCATCCAACTGATTCAACAGTTCCAACATAGTTCTCTGTATTTCTCTTTCACCACCCGAATTGGAATCGTAACGTTTAGTGCCCACAGCATCAATTTCATCGATGAACACAATAGAGGGTGCATGCTCCTCAGCAACACGGAAAAGTTCACGAACCAATTTTGGACCATCGCCCAGATATTTTTGAATTAATTCCGAACCAACAACACGCAAAAATGTAGCTGATGTTTGATTTGCCACAGCCTTGGCCAATAATGTTTTACCAGTACCTGGAGGACCATAAAGAATGACACCTTTCGGTGGTTTTATACCCATTTCTTCATAATATTCTGGATGTGTTAAAGGCAATTCCACGGACTCTTTAATTTCTTGAATTTGTGTGTCTAAACCACCAATATCAGCATATGTTTCTTGAGGTGCCTTTTCTAATTTCATTACCGTGACCATGGGATCTGTATCGTCACTAAGGACACCAACTACAGCATGAACTTTGTGATTTAATAGTACAGAGCAACCAGGCTCCAGTTGATCCTTATCAACAAACGACAATATGCTAACGTAGTGTTCCGATCCCACACTGGTGGATACAATTGCATGATTATCGTCGATTATTTCTTCCAAATTTCCAACAGACATAGGTGTTCCCCTCAAATCATCAACCTTAGAACGTTCTTCTTCATTCTTTTCATCTTGGGGTTTAAGTCTTTCCTGATTGCGTATAAATTCATCTTCCATCATAAGGTAATCCTTGATGCGTTCCAATTTCAGCAATTTTAACCTACACCTAGTATGCGGGGTAACCTGTGGCAGTTTCATAGCCGCATCGGGACCCTTTGACCGCTTCTTCTTCTTACCAACTCGAGTAGGAATTGGTGGTTCATACTTCTTCTTTTTGTCTTTGTCATCTTTCTTGTCTCCAGATCCGCCTTGAGACGATTGATTTTGTCCCTAAAATGATTTCATAATTAGCAAGGAATAGTGATTCACTCTTCATGGACTTACCATGATTACAACTTATGTATTTAAGAAATGTTTTATTTGTTATACAAATAATTTGTCGCTATTGCTTGCAATTTTCGCAAATTTCGGCTTCTTTCTGTAGAAATGACAAATGACGATGCAGAATGGATGGAATTAGGGATATATAGATCGAATATGAGCCAAAAAGATAACAGAGCTGGTCGTTTTTTTGACGCAAGTCATTGTTTACCTTTCTTTAATAGACAAAACAATTAAAAATTAAAGGAAAACGAAGGTATTTTCCACACAAATAGGATTCTATAAAAACAAATCCCCGAAATTAAATGATATAGTTTATAACTTACTTTTGATCCGTCAAGGAACACAATAATTGGGAAATTAAAAAAATAAAATCTATCAAAAACACAATCTGCATCCAAAATTATCCATGTTTACGTTAGAACTATTTGCAGGGTAAACCCATGGTACAATGAGGAGGTAGAACAGCTTCGGAAAAATACAGAAATACAGCCCTGTTTTGTTTTTGTTTTTATTTTTCAAAACAACAAATACAAACACAAAATTTGCAGAACTCGGGCAAACTTAGAAAAAAAAATAATCAGCTGGTAGCTCTACCTTACCTTTTTATTGTACCATGGGTTAACCTACTTCAGGAGGATTTATTTAAAGTATGCGTAATGGATATGACAATTGTAATCTAAATCCATTGGGATAACCCATTTATATTTCAGCGTACTGTAATAATCCTATATCATTATGACACTATTTTCTTTCAAGAAATTATGAAAAATTGTAATGCAATATTCGTACTCACTTATATTGAGAAATGTATTTGTTCAATTTTGTATATTTTAGACTTTTTTCTGATAAATTAAGTGCTCCAAAACTACACTTTCAATTGAGTAAATATAAAGCCAGAAAGAAAATTACAGCTTTGTTCTACCTTCTGTGATTGTGACATGGGCAGATGTATTTCCAGATATTCATATTTTATATTTAATTAATCCACTGCAACAAATTTCATGAAAAAATTCTTACACGATTACATATAAATATTATATAAATATATGCTACTGTCTTTAGTATAAAAACTAGTTGTCGTTGTGAAACAGGCAAATTTGAATAAAAAGTTGTTCAATTTCGTTAAATTTGTTGAAAAAATCATATCATAACAACCTCCGATTGGCGTCGTATAAGAAAATATATAAAAATCTACTTATTTTTGAAAAAAATTTAAATTTTGAAAAATATGACATATCGATGTTATCAAGCGATATTGTATCAAACTCTATACTTCTACTTTCATTAGAACATGTTTGATATGAATTAGGCTTTATAGTGTGAACACAATGAACCAACATGTTTATGTATCTTAAAGCTAGTTAAGTTTACTATAATTTATATTGCGTACATTTAAGATCAAAATCCAGTGGAGAATTGACAGTTTTAATTAAATTGACAGTTTTAGTATATGTGTACAGGGTTTAACATACCACACCGATGTTTCGTGTAAACTGAGCTTGAGGCAACTGAAGTTTTACAAATAATTAGTGCTTTAAAAGCAAAGATGTTTCGTAGTAGGTGATCATCCCTATTATTTAAATGTCTTTTTGACACTAGTTTTCGTCCGTCACGAATGAAGAAAACATAATCGATCTACACACACCTATTGGAACGTCGTCCAACCTGCCAACGTATTAGAATGGTCTTGCTTGATAATTCATCGGTAATTTTAGATTTAGTTCATTATAATACATTTATTATGTTTATATATGAAATACTAATTTATTTATTTTAGTTTATACTTCGCCTGGAGAAGCTGGCGTCCTCAGCGAAGGCAGATTCTTCATTTACCGTCACATTTAAACGTTGTAAGTAGTCAAATTGTTGTCTCGGAGTAATTTGTCCACAGTAACTTGGTCTACAATTCCAATATAATTTTTTTGGGATTTGTACAGAATAAATAATTCTGAAAACAAATATGAACTCCTTTACATTACAACGATGTAAATTAATTAATATTTCCTAAGATGGGGAGCTACCCAAAACAAAACAGTTATGGCTTGTAATATGGAACACTACTGCAGATTCATCCGAACTTTAAAACATTTAGCTTATTCAATATAAAATGTTTTTCCAAATGACTACAGCGAGCCAAACCAGTCTGTTGGTGAAAATCCCACGGTGTTAAAAAATCTGTTGGCCTAAAGCCATTGCAACATTTCTATACAATTACTAATTCGTTCATCCCAGACCAAACCGCCTTAAATGCATAATCTCGTATTTATAAAGAATTATGTTGATCCTAAATTAATTATTTTCTTTTTTCAGATAATGGTCATGACAGACCAAAACCACGCGAAGGGAAGCCTGCCCTACCAGAACCTGAGGAGTATTTGTGTCTTATGAGAGCTCAGTCAAAATCGAAAAAGGTATTTACTTAAAAAGGCAAATTTAATTTGATTACAATTGGCATGCATGACACGATTTCGTTAATTATAATTATATTTCTATCTAAATTTTCGCAACATGATTCTTAAATTATTTTTTCAAAAATCGTCGGTATGGACAATTCATAATTCCTTTGGAAAATCTCACATCTTACGTCTATTTAAGGACGCAATCGTGTCGAAAGTGCGAATGATAATAGAAATTTCAGTTTAACATAACTTCTTTTATAGATTTCCACTGTTGTTAAACACGAAGATGTGCCCAAAATGTTGACCATGTACGGCCAGTTTATGAAAAGTAATATGGATGGTTTGAAACGTGTTAAAAAAGTCAAAAGCAAAGCTAAAGCCGCCAAGGGATAAAGTTCAATTGATTTACTGAATTCCTAAATATTGCTTAACATTAAAAACTATTTTAGCATTAATGGTAATTTTTTACAATACATGAACAGTGTGTTCGTTCGTAAAACACAATGAAATTTTATTTTGAATATGAAAAAAACTTAATTGTTGATCGTTTTATTAGAAAGTTTGTAGATACAATACACATAATAACATGCATCTGTAATAATGGTAATTTTTATATAATCTAACTACACAATGCACAAATATTTATAGACTAATTAAAAATGGAAAAAATGTTAACGTTTCTCTATTAAACCTTTTTTCTTTAATTGACGTAGAGCACACTTTGCAGCCGTGCATTTTGCAATGCGATAATTTCTACCAATACCGCGATATGTTCCTTTGCAAAAGACTTCCACAGTAACACGTACACGTCGACCATCTGCTAATTTTTCAGGTTTGCTGTAAAAATAAAAAAGGAATAGTTATTTTCGAAACCTATTACTAATATATTTTTGTAAACATACCCAAACTTGGCTGTTTCCGGCTCCAACTCAAGTAATTCTCGGATAGGTGACTTTGGCACGAAGTTACTGAATTGCTCAATCTCAGGTCGCATCATGTTGTAGTAGACACGCCACACTGCGTCCAAGGACATATTTGAGTCTAAGAAAATAGCACCTGCTACTGATTCAAATACATCACCCAAAGCTTTTGGCACTTCGACATCTTCAGCGTCATCACATTCTTCTTTAGACAGTAGATAATACTGAAACAAAAATTTTATTATCAGTGCCTTACACTTCCAATAAGAATAAAAACACAAACCTCTTCACTTATACTGTGGCCATTTTCTGTTTGTATTCGTACAAATCGATCTATAACCTCATTTAAACCAGGCGATAAATGGCGAAAGTACTTGTGGAAGCCATGTCTAACTGCCAACGAAGCAAATATTGTATTATTTACTAAAGCCGATCTTAAATCTGTTAGTGCTCCCGGTGAATGCTGCCTGGGATCTTCATACAAATGTCTGGTTATTAAATAATCCAATACAGCATCTCCGAGAAATTCCAAACGTTGGTAACAATCCGTTAAACGATTTGGTGTGTATGAAGCATGTGTCATGGCCTGTAACAAATATGAACGATCACGAAATTTATAGCCCAGACTTTCTTCAAATTCTTCATATCCCTGTAGGAGTGCGTCCAGCGCCTCTTCAGCGTTTGGTGTGTAATGTAATAAAGGTGACTTTGGCGGCGACCATGAACCATACACAGTGATCATATTATCACAATCAGGCAATGTACTTCCCGGTATTCGGGGCTTGTTGGGATCATAGGGTATGCGTTCATATGGAATTACCCTTATCCCCAGCCATGCCATAAAGAGTAAAGCGCCTCTCAAACCACACTCGATGAGATAGGCCCCTATTAGGGCTTCAACACAATCGGCAACTGATTTATCTGTGCATACACAATATGTTAAAGAGCTTTATGAAAAGAAGAAGAAATCTAAACCATATTGAAACATTACCTGGAATGCTATGTTGAGATACTAAGTTATAGGGTATAAAACAGGAAAATTCATATGGTATATTATTTCGATCATCCCATTCTCGGTCAATTTTTCCACCACTGTCAGCCACGTCGCTCATTTCATCCGGATCCTTAAAACAAAACCATTCATAAACTAAAACTCGACACTGTTATATTCAAGTTACCGTAAAGTTGCATCCCCATTCATCGGCTTTTTTCCGAACAAGTTCGCATATTTCCGCATTCGTCAGTTTTTTAATGTTAACCAAATCCACCAGACTCCAATAATGTGGAGGAATTTTGGCTTCAATCAATGCCTTTTCCAATTCCTTCGGCACGTAGTAACAGGGAGGCAGCCAATTATCGCTAGGTTCAAATTTGGTAGCAATCATATATTCACCCAGTTGTTTCCGTCTACCCAAACGATATAAATTCAAATTAGCTACTTGTTTTGATCGCAAGTGACTGAGTTTGCCCTCATGGACATTTTCATAGGTTATGTACAAATATGTAGTTATGGCATATTTCAAAAATGAATCACCAATAGTTTCCAGCCTTTCCAGATTAATGCCATCATTTGCATTGGACATGGTTAGAGCTTGTAAAATAATACTTGGACTTGGCCCAGGGTGAGTAGCCAAATCAGGTTGATAATCGAAACTAAATGTGGACACAGATTGCTCGTTTGATTTTAAAATATCACAGTCCTCTTGGTTGTTCTTGCTTTTTTCTATTGAGGGATATTCTTTGCCTTGAATTTCAAAATTTAATTTGATTTTTTTTGATTGCTTATCTTCTCCAATACAAAGGTTAGAAGCATCATTAAAATTATCAAATAAATCACCACATCCTTCTATTGTGAAAGTTTCTTCCGGATGTTCTTTTATCCATTGCAAATTGAGATCATGTAAGGTTTCCATGCATAGAACATACTTTAATGTACCTTGACTTAAAATATTTTGCAAATCGACCTCTCGAACATAGGGAAGAAGTTTTTTAAATGTGTCCAAACACAAATCGAAAGCATTTTTATCGGAGCCAGGTTCGTTGATCTTCTTGTTTAACAATTTTATCGATTGATCATACCCAACTAGCATACCCGAATTTTGTATTTCTTCAACAAAACGTTGAGTCGATGTCTTAAAATCTTCTATAGATCGCTGAAGTTCCTCTGATTGCTGTTCTTTAAGGTCAATAAAATTATAACCAACTAATAGATTTTTGGTCTCCTGGTAGTCACGTTCATTAGCCTTGGTTTCCTGTATTATGGAGAGCTGCTTATTCAATTTTTCAATGTCCTGTTCAGTTTCAATTGTCTCTGCTTCATTTTTGGATGTTAAAACGATGTCATCAATATCGTCGTACATATCATCCATTTCGGCATCGCTGGCAAAACTAGACTCGTATGGTGATTCATCCGAATCATAATATTTAAATTGCGATGTTTCCTTTTTCTTTTCTTTTTCAGCATCCTCATCTAAGGAAATATCTTTGAATGTGGGTGAAGTTGCCCTTGCAGCTTTTCCGCCTAGGGAATTAAGATTTTGACACATATAAAAAAATATATTTCTAGAGCGGCATGGAATAGCGTAACAACTTACAAAGTTTTATTGTTGGTGGAAGAATCCCGTCAAACAGCTCATCATAATCGCTATCCGAATCTGAACGCAATTTATAATCTATATCAGCAGCCATGTCATTTGACCATGTACCAATTTCCACAAAACCTCCACCTTCCTCCCTTAGCTTGCGTTCTGCATCTTGAACAATTTCATTAATAGTTTTATCAGTATTTGAGTCCTCCGTAAATATGGGATCGTCTTCCAAAGGGGGTTGGGATTTGCTTGATTCGTTCTCTTTGTGTGTCCCCGTTTTAGCACCATTATCCCCTTCAGTTGCCTGTTGGGCTTTAGTTGCTTTAGATTTTTTCAGAACATCACTGAGACTCCAACCAAAATCCAGCATGGGCCATTCTTTCTCTTCTGGCAATTCTGGTTTTCCCAAGCCAATATCGTTTACAACCTTTTTACGTATGTCATCAGCTAACAATAAACCATTAATACGATATAAAATACAAGGCAAACATACGGCCGTTCGCCATAAGGAAGCAGGGAAGGGATGTACAGTGCAAAGTTCTGGCACTAAAATTTGTTTTAATTCTAAATTTTCTCGTTTTGCCCGCTTTGTCGCTTCCGAACTCGTTGGCAGTGCAACGCCTTTGCGATTCACATAACGAGGTGTTAAAAAATTCAAACGAGCACTTGTGTGATCTACATCCAGCAATGGTTGTTTCGGGTGAATTTTCAAGCCATACTTTAAATAATAATAATGCATAAATGTATGATATTTCATACTGGGAAATATACTAAGCGGTGATAATTGATGGCATATTTCGGCTACATAAAAGTAATGAGGTTGATCTTGATTTCTATACCAAGGCATAACAACGGCATCCCTAAATTTCTCCGCAGAAAATTCAGTGGCATGTCTCATTTCTTCCGGTACAGGTGTTGGCATCATATTAGCATTGCGCTCGATTAAATCCAAAAATGTCCAGTCAATAATTTTGTTTTTGTCGCCATCGTTTGTTTTCACCGTTGGTACAATGAATATACAATTTTCTGTTGATTCCGGATCAAAAAGCATTAAAAACTTTTTCAGTCGTAATACCTTTGTGAATGTATAATTTATGAATGTATTTATGGAGGTGATATTCTCTTTAGACAACACAATGCGCTGCGGATGTAGTATTAATGAAACTTTTACCTCGCCAGATCGTGTGAATATTGGAAATGAACTGACTTTGGGAATTTTTTTGAGTGTCAGAATGCCAAAGCCCTGGGTAGCGTCTTCCGGGGGATATATTTTTCTACCCCTAGTATTTTGCTCCTCTGGTATAGGACATTGGAGGGTAAGATCAAGTAAATATAAATAACATTCCACACCTGGCGTGGGGCGGCAATTACAGAATTCAGAGGCAATCTGTAAGATAAAAAATGAAAACTCTCATTGATGTTTAATTACTTTAAATTACTACTGCTTTTTAAATGAATTAATGTAGGCACTTATTTAAAGATTTCATTAAAGGAATTTTTTGACTCACATACCCTTTTATAATAATATTGCCTTCTTTTTGTTGTACCCGGCCTTGGTTCTGTATTTTCTTGTACAATTTTCTCATCTTGTTCCTCAAGTTCGAAATTTTCCCAGTCTGGTTCCAGAGGCCTGAAACCTTCCTTTCCAATCGGTTGCAAATTATTATCCAATTCACCGGAAGAATGTAGCGCAACGCAAGCTTGCAAGGCTGTCATTCGTCTTGCCAAGACGTGGGTGGGCATAGGTAAGCCAATAATATCATATTTTAGAGGAGAATTTATTGGTAGTCTTAGGGTGTATTGATACATAGTGGTACCATTACGTATGGTATGGGCACATCTCCAGAGTGGAGTTAATTTGGTAAATGTATCGCTGGGTAATTTGGCACAATACTTATTGACTAATGCTATGGAATTACTGAGATCAACATAGGCTCCTGTTAACAACTGAGCTAATGGTTTGTATGGTTTAATACATTTATTAAAAATGTCAGCTTCACGATGTTCATTTTCTTCGGGTTCAATATTGGCACATCTTTGTAGAAGCATCTGAAATCGAAAGACAGCATTATTCTACAGGATTTGATATTTGAAAATGTTTATTATATCACCTTTTCAATTTCTCTATACTCTGCCATTTGTTTCACAATGTCATCGGTGGTTTTTATCATGTTGCAAAATTTTATCGATTCCTCTTCATTGCTCAATACTTTTTCTTCGGGTTCAACAACTTTGTCTTCCAAAAGACATTGGAAGTATTTTGCTTCTTTTTCCGGAACAGTGTCATTCTTCAAATCTGAATCTTTTTTCGGTGAAGTTTCATTCCCATGATCTTCATTTTCCACTACTTTTGTTTCTTTAATATTCGATACTTCATCCATGATTTTGTTTAAATCAAAGACTTTATAATTTTCACACGATCTTTCCATTATTTCTTCGGTTGCATTAATTTTTTTATTATTAGCAGTTTTTCTTGAAGTTTGATCCTTTTCCGCAATACTATTTAGATCGTATACTTTATAATCATCATTGGATTTTATCACAGAATTTTCTAAATCATTATCATCACTTGATGACATTGCACCTATAGAATCATTTCCACAATTTGAAGTACTTTCTTTTTCTCTTGAAGAATTTAATTCCGCGACTTTTTTATTTTCCTCAACATTTGTCCCAACAATCTCGTTGGCATCCTTAATTGCTAGTGGAACATCTTCTATTTCCTTTAGAACAATGTCACTTCCCTTGGAAGTCTGTTTAGAGGGATGCTTGTTTGTAATTACTTCTGGATTTAATATCTTAATTGTTCCTTTACTGGAGCCATATACAAATTTTTGTTTGGTCGAAATACCATTGATTTTATTTTCTTCTCCGTCCTCTTCTTTATCGGATTTTTCGGAGTCTGTTAGACATTTGTCTTGATCTTCAGATAATGTACATAGTAATCGATGACTTTTGTCACTCAACTGCTCATTTGTGGTCTTCAAAATATCGGTTTCTGAAGCAACCAATACCACGTGATATGCTGGAACAGCCCTTGCTCTACCTTTACATTGCACATAACTACGGTATGTTGTAGGTGGATCCCAGCGTACCACTAAATTACATTTTGGAACATCTATCCCTTCCTCCAAAACCGAAGTACCTATCAGAACATTACAATCATGCATTCGAAATCGTTTCAATACCTCTTCTTGTCGCCGATGTTCCGATTCGGCCTCTTTTGGTTCAGTTATTGGATCAGCAACACGATCTGTAGTAAATTGACACTTAATAAATTTTAAATCTGGATCGTGTCGGCTCATTTCAGCCAATAACTCAAAAAGAACACGTGCGGTATAGTTCGTATTACAAAATATAATTGAACACAGTGTATCAGCACCATCATTATGGTCCCGATTGTGTCGCCGAAATGGTCTCCGTTTGGGGCGATTATGATGTGTTCCTGAATGATGATGACCATGGATATTGGAACTTGTTGTTTTAATATCTTCAGTCTTTTTCAATTTGTTGTTGAGTGTTTTGTTTTCACTCTCGCCAATATTTTGTTGAGCATTTTCTGCATTCAATTTGGCCTGAAATTCTGGCTTTATAATCGAATCTAAGTTCTCCACAATAGATCTACTCTCTAGTTGTTGCTTTTCCACAGCTTGTTCAACACTGTGACATTTTGTCTCCAAGATACGTGACAGCTTTTGAAAATCCATTTGATCTAATTCACTGCTAATTCTTTTAATGGTATCATTCTTACTTGATGTGTCATCGGGCTTGAAAAGCCGCAACACCTCCAGTAACCTAAGAACCTTGGGGCTTGAATGTTTCTCAACACATTCCTTGTGATTGTTTTTAAATTTACGGAAATTTTGTTCGCATATAGCGTGAACTTCCAACAATGCAGTATTCACCAAACATAATAGAATATAATGGCGTTCGTGGGGTGTTTTTATTTTTTGTTTTTCAATACGTTGATACATGCTAAACGCCACACGATCTGCTGACCATGGTCCCATTTCTATTAATACTTGTAGCATAGTCTCAAGAAATTCGAGTGGTTCCTTTTTGGGATCTGGAATGTCTTTCAGTTCTTCTATAAACTCATCGGTACAATATATTTCGAATGGATCATAACGATGATTATTGAGAAAAGCTTTACGCGTAAGTAAAACATCTTGAAGTATGTAGCATAATTCATCTTGTTTGTATGGAGCACATTGGACGATATACTCAAAAGGTTTGGCACAATATCTAAAATTGAATCAATCAATTAAGCTGTTTGATAAGCTTCTAAAAGAATCTAGAGTTATTTACCTTAAAACTGTGACAATGTCGCTTGCTGTTTCCGTTCGACATTTGACGGTCTTTTCTAGGCCATTAAGCATTGCAGACAGTTCAGCTAAGTCACAACCCGCACTATGCAAAGGACCAGCTAGACCCAACACTTTTGGCATATCTTGTAGGTCTTCGATTTTATAAAAACTACTAAATATTTCTCGCATGTCTGCAAATAATGTATCCTGATGACAATCATCCAATACCAGCAAATATACTTTTTCCATCTTGAGAACACCCTCGCGCATCAAATGTAGACATGTTTTCGGTTGCAAAATGTAAACATTAAACCCCCGAGGCAGATCATCAAAAGTAGTGCTTGGCTCCTGGCATACCCTCAAATCTGTTAAGTGTTGCAACATTGTAAACATTGCCGGCGCCTTGCTCGTACTAAGATAAATAGCAATTTTGTTATCTAGCAGTCGTTGCTTATGTCCCAATTCTTGCAACAGTTTTAACGCAATGAATTCCTTGGACGATTTATGGCCCAAACATATCATGGTGTTGCGCTCAAATGCAGCAGCTAAAAGTTCAACTTGATAGTCACGAGGACTAAAAACTGCTGTATGCAGATTATCGCACCAATGAAATGACATGGTGGATATGGATTATTGGATGGAACCGATTGCTTGTAAGAACTTAGAAATTTGCAACGCTCCCCTCTGTGGAGACGATAGGCGGTGCAAATTTGGGATACCAAAATGAAAGACGTCCCCAACGAAACAAATAAGAAAGGCAAAAAAGAATGCCGATAAAAAATAAAGTGAAAGTAAAACACCGAATACCTCTGTTGTTTACGAAAAAGACATGAGCAAAACGCAATCAGCTGGGAGCACTCATTAAATGAACGCGGAACCAGTCTGCAAAATTGACACTTCTAAGAATTTTATGGTTGCTAAAGTACTTGAATTATGTTGGCATTGTTAAATACGGGACAGGTCCACATAACTATTAATTTAGACATTTTTAAAGACAAACAAACTGAACCATAGCAAAAAAAATAGAAGTTGTTGTTTTGTAGCAGCTCTTACATCTGTGTTCGTTTTTCATTTTTCTGATTCCATTCAATCAGGTTCTGCCTCTAAGTCCAGTCTCAAAAAGGATGAAACATGTATGGGTTGTGTCCATAACGAGACTGAAGTTAGGTGAGTATGCTTGGCAGCGAAATAGGTGCAGCGTGTCATGTGGCCTGTGCCACAAGCTGGGCAGATGTTCTACACTTCGCTGTTAATCCGGGCCAAATAGGAATTTAGGCGGCTGCACCATCCGGATCGTAATTGAGCCAAAACTACTAGGGTTTGTCCGGGCAGCTCTCGTTCTTTACCTGCGACGGGAGGGGATGGTCTCCTATCACAGTATTCACTCTATATCCATCAATGGCTTCTGAGACCGCATTAGAGTGAATACTATTCAGTCCCGCTTAATGGGCTGGTAGATCTAGAGGATCATGAAGGTCTTTCCTAACGTGCATGGGCGGAGGTTGCCTATCCACAGGATAGTGATTCGGATGGCTTTGTCTACAACACCCAACCTGGTATTGCATTGACAGCATTTTGTTATGCTGTCGCACCGGTAAGACCTTCGCCTCCTTATGTAGGTGATCGACAGGTGTCATGGGAATCCCACGCCGGCCGGTTCTATGCACCGGATTGACTCGGAGGTACAAATCTCCGACCAGGGGCCGCCAACCCAGAAGCACCATAGTTGTTGGTGTTTTGTAGAGTAATACAACGTTCTTTTTTTCTATTATTAGGATAAAAATGCTCAAAAAAAGTGTAATTCTATCAAAAAGTGAAATTTTGTATAAAAAAGTGTATGCCAAAAATGGAATTAAGTCACAAAACGTCGAATTTAATATTAGCATTACTATAGAATCAAATAAGCTGGGGTTTGCTGCTAACTGTAATAAAATCAAACAATAATAAAAATATGAAAGTGTACAGTTAAAATATTATATGGCAGTGTTACCTAAAATTCGACTTAGCTTATACAAATATTCAACTTCCCATGGTACAATAAGGAGGTAGAGCAGCTTCGTAAAACTACAGAAATACAGCCCTGATGCTATGCCCGCTTCCTGTCAGACTCGTTCAAATTTATATACAGCAAGTTGTTTTAATTTTTTAAATGATTTTTTAAAATGGGTTGTCCCTCAAAAATTCGATCCAAACTGTTTAATCTTTCAATTTAATGGCCAAAATGGTTCATAGCTTTTATGCGCGAACCGCAATGTACGTGTTTTTCAATCATTGGTTTTGAAAATATTTTGTTTTCATTTTTCAAAACAATAAATACATACAAAAAATTGGCAGAAGTCGGGCTCTTTAAGAAAAAAAATTGTAATCAGCTGGTAGTTCTACCATACCTTTTTATTGTACCATGCAACTTCCCTACTGTGGTAAAATATTTAATACAGCCCCTTGTAGAATTAAGAAGGTTATGTCATGCAGACTTTGTCAAAATATATATTTATGAATTCATTGTACATACAAAAATCAAAGAAGCGAAACTGCTTTCTATGCAGTGAAATTTGACAAGGTAAATTACAGAAAATGAAGTGACTTTACATTCTTAGTTTAACCATGGTACACCCATACTAATACACCATGTCTATATCTTAGAATCTACAAAATAAAAAGGTTGTAAAAACTGTTACTTTTCTAAATTCACTCAACTTTAATATTTTCCAATTACATTTACATTTTTGTAGCCAAAATTTCTATTTAACTGTTAAGTCCGGGAGCAAGCCTTTATAATGTGTCACAAAATATGCCAAGCTGCTTATGTACCCACACTTTAAGACAAATGCTAAAAGAATCTAGAGTTATTTACCTTAAAACTGTGACAATGTCGCTTGCTGTTTCCGTTCGACATTTGACGGTCTTTTCTAGGCCATTAAGCATTGCAGACAGTTCAGCTAAGTCACAACCCGCACTATGCAAAGGACCAGCTAGACCCAACACTTTTGGCATATCTTGTAGGTCTTCGATTTTATAAAAACTACTAAATATTTCTCGCATGTCTGCAAATAATGTATCCTGATGACAATCATCCAATACCAGCAAATATACTTTTTCCATCTTGAGAACACCCTCGCGCATCAAATGTAGACATGTTTTCGGTTGCAAAATGTAAACATTAAACCCCCGAGGCAGATCATCAAAAGTAGTGCTTGGCTCCTGGCATACCCTCAAATCTGTTAAGTGTTGCAACATTGTAAACATTGCCGGCGCCTTGCTCGTACTAAGATAAATAGCAATTTTGTTATCTAGCAGTCGTTGCTTATGTCCCAATTCTTGCAACAGTTTTAACGCAATGAATTCCTTGGACGATTTATGGCCCAAACATATCATGGTGTTGCGCTCAAATGCAGCAGCTAAAAGTTCAACTTGATAGTCACGAGGACTAAAAACTGCTGTATGCAGATTATCGCACCAATGAAATGACATGGTGGATATGGATTATTGGATGGAACCGATTGCTTGTAAGAACTTAGAAATTTGCAACGCTCCCCTCTGTGGAGACGATAGGCGGTGCAAATTTGGGATACCAAAATGAAAGACGTCCCCAACGAAACAAATAAGAAAGGCAAAAAAGAATGCCGATAAAAAATAAAGTGAAAGTAAAACACCGAATACCTCTGTTGTTTACGAAAAAGACATGAGCAAAACGCAATCAGCTGGGAGCACTCATTAAATGAACGCGGAACCAGTCTGCAAAATTGACACTTCTAAGAATTTTATGGTTGCTAAAGTACTTGAATTATGTTGGCATTGTTAAATACGGGACAGGTCCACATAACTATTAATTTAGACATTTTTAAAGACAAACAAACTGAACCATAGCAAAAAAAATAGAAGTTGTTGTTTTGTAGCAGCTCTTACATCTGTGTTCGTTTTTCATTTTTCTGATTCCATTCAATCAGGTTCTGCCTCTAAGTCCAGTCTCAAAAAGGATGAAACATGTATGGGTTGTGTCCATAACGAGACTGAAGTTAGGTGAGTATGCTTGGCAGCGAAATAGGTGCAGCGTGTCATGTGGCCTGTGCCACAAGCTGGGCAGATGTTCTACACTTCGCTGTTAATCCGGGCCAAATAGGAATTTAGGCGGCTGCACCATCCGGATCGTAATTGAGCCAAAACTACTAGGGTTTGTCCGGGCAGCTCTCGTTCTTTACCTGCGACGGGAGGGGATGGTCTCCTATCACAGTATTCACTCTATATCCATCAATGGCTTCTGAGACCGCATTAGAGTGAATACTATTCAGTCCCGCTTAATGGGCTGGTAGATCTAGAGGATCATGAAGGTCTTTCCTAACGTGCATGGGCGGAGGTTGCCTATCCACAGGATAGTGATTCGGATGGCTTTGTCTACAACACCCAACCTGGTATTGCATTGACAGCATTTTGTTATGCTGTCGCACCGGTAAGACCTTCGCCTCCTTATGTAGGTGATCGACAGGTGTCATGGGAATCCCACGCCGGCCGGTTCTATGCACCGGATTGACTCGGAGGTACAAATCTCCGACCAGGGGCCGCCAACCCAGAAGCACCATAGCTGTTGGTGTTTTGTAGAGTAATACAACGTTCTTTTTTTCTATTATTAGGATAAAAATGCTCAAAAAAAGTGTAATTCTATCAAAAAGTGAAATTTTGTATAAAAAAGTGTATGCCAAAAATGGAATTAAGTCACAAAACGTCGAATTTAATATTAGCATTACTATAGAATCAAATAAGCTGGGGTTTGCTGCTAACTGTAATAAAATCAAACAATAATAAAAATATGAAAGTGTACAGTTAAAATATTATATGGCAGTGTTACCTAAAATTCGACTTAGCTTATACAAATATTCAACTTCCCATGGTACAATAAGGAGGTAGAGCAGCTTCGTAAAACTACAGAAATACAGCCCTGATGCTATGCCCGCTTCCTGTCAGACTCGTTCAAATTTATATACAGCAAGTTGTTTTAATTTTTTAAATGATTTTTTAAAATGGGTTGTCCCTCAAAAATTCGATCCAAACTGTTTAATCTTTCAATTTAATGGCCAAAATGGTTCATAGCTTTTATGCGCGAACCGCAATGTACGTGTTTTTCAATCATTGGTTTTGAAAATATTTTGTTTTCATTTTTCAAAACAATAAATACATACAAAAAATTGGCAGAAGTCGGGCTCTTTAAGAAAAAAAATTGTAATCAGCTGGTAGTTCTACCATACCTTTTTATTGTACCATGCAACTTCCCTACTGTGGTAAAATATTTAATACAGCCCCTTGTAGAATTAAGAAGGTTATGTCATGCAGACTTTGTCAAAATATATATTTATGAATTCATTGTACATACAAAAATCAAAGAAGCGAAACTGCTTTCTATGCAGTGAAATTTGACAAGGTAAATTACAGAAAATGAAGTGACTTTACATTCTTAGTTTAACCATGGTACACCCATACTAATACACCATGTCTATATCTTAGAATCTACAAAATAAAAAGGTTGTAAAAACTGTTACTTTTCTAAATTCACTCAACTTTAATATTTTCCAATTACATTTACATTTTTGTAGCCAAAATTTCTATTTAACTGTTAAGTCCGGGAGCAAGCCTTTATAATGTGTCACAAAATATGCCAAGCTGCTTATGTACCCACACTTTAAGACAAATGCTAAAAGAATCTAGAGTTATTTACCTTAAAACTGTGACAATGTCGCTTGCTGTTTCCGTTCGACATTTGACGGTCTTTTCTAGGCCATTAAGCATTGCAGACAGTTCAGCTAAGTCACAACCCGCACTATGCAAAGGACCAGCTAGACCCAACACTTTTGGCATATCTTGTAGGTCTTCGATTTTATAAAAACTACTAAATATTTCTCGCATGTCTGCAAATAATGTATCCTGATGACAATCATCCAATACCAGCAAATATACTTTTTCCATCTTGAGAACACCCTCGCGCATCAAATGTAGACATGTTTTCGGTTGCAAAATGTAAACATTAAACCCCCGAGGCAGATCATCAAAAGTAGTGCTTGGCTCCTGGCATACCCTCAAATCTGTTAAGTGTTGCAACATTGTAAACATTGCCGGCGCCTTGCTCGTACTAAGATAAATAGCAATTTTGTTATCTAGCAGTCGTTGCTTATGTCCCAATTCTTGCAACAGTTTTAACGCAATGAATTCCTTGGACGATTTATGGCCCAAACATATCATGGTGTTGCGCTCAAATGCAGCAGCTAAAAGTTCAACTTGATAGTCACGAGGACTAAAAACTGCTGTATGCAGATTATCGCACCAATGAAATGACATGGTGGATATGGATTATTGGATGGAACCGATTGCTTGTAAGAACTTAGAAATTTGCAACGCTCCCCTCTGTGGAGACGATAGGCGGTGCAAATTTGGGATACCAAAATGAAAGACGTCCCCAACGAAACAAATAAGAAAGGCAAAAAAGAATGCCGATAAAAAATAAAGTGAAAGTAAAACACCGAATACCTCTGTTGTTTACGAAAAAGACATGAGCAAAACGCAATCAGCTGGGAGCACTCATTAAATGAACGCGGAACCAGTCTGCAAAATTGACACTTCTAAGAATTTTATGGTTGCTAAAGTACTTGAATTATGTTGGCATTGTTAAATACGGGACAGGTCCACATAACTATTAATTTAGACATTTTTAAAGACAAACAAACTGAACCATAGCAAAAAAAATAGAAGTTGTTGTTTTGTAGCAGCTCTTACATCTGTGTTCGTTTTTCATTTTTCTGATTCCATTCAATCAGGTTCTGCCTCTAAGTCCAGTCTCAAAAAGGATGAAACATGTATGGGTTGTGTCCATAACGAGACTGAAGTTAGGTGAGTATGCTTGGCAGCGAAATAGGTGCAGCGTGTCATGTGGCCTGTGCCACAAGCTGGGCAGATGTTCTACACTTCGCTGTTAATCCGGGCCAAATAGGAATTTAGGCGGCTGCACCATCCGGATCGTAATTGAGCCAAAACTACTAGGGTTTGTCCGGGCAGCTCTCGTTCTTTACCTGCGACGGGAGGGGATGGTCTCCTATCACAGTATTCACTCTATATCCATCAATGGCTTCTGAGACCGCATTAGAGTGAATACTATTCAGTCCCGCTTAATGGGCTGGTAGATCTAGAGGATCATGAAGGTCTTTCCTAACGTGCATGGGCGGAGGTTGCCTATCCACAGGATAGTGATTCGGATGGCTTTGTCTACAACACCCAACCTGGTATTGCATTGACAGCATTTTGTTATGCTGTCGCACCGGTAAGACCTTCGCCTCCTTATGTAGGTGATCGACAGGTGTCATGGGAATCCCACGCCGGCCGGTTCTATGCACCGGATTGACTCGGAGGTACAAATCTCCGACCAGGGGCCGCCAACCCAGAAGCACCATAGCTGTTGGTGTTTTGTAGAGTAATACAACGTTCTTTTTTTCTATTATTAGGATAAAAATGCTCAAAAAAAGTGTAATTCTATCAAAAAGTGAAATTTTGTATAAAAAAGTGTATGCCAAAAATGGAATTAAGTCACAAAACGTCGAATTTAATATTAGCATTACTATAGAATCAAATAAGCTGGGGTTTGCTGCTAACTGTAATAAAATCAAACAATAATAAAAATATGAAAGTGTACAGTTAAAATATTATATGGCAGTGTTACCTAAAATTCGACTTAGCTTATACAAATATTCAACTTCCCATGGTACAATAAGGAGGTAGAGCAGCTTCGTAAAACTACAGAAATACAGCCCTGACGCTATGCCCGCTTCCTGTCAGACTCGTTCAAATTTATATACAGCAAGTTGTTTTAATTTTTTAAATGATTTTTTAAAATGGGTTGTCCCTCAAAAATTCGATCCAAACTGTTTAATCTTTCAATTTAATGGCCAAAATGGTTCATAGCTTTTATGCGCGAACCGCAATGTACGTGTTTTTCAATCATTGGTTTTGAAAATATTTTGTTTTCATTTTTCAAAACAATAAATACATACAAAAAATTGGCAGAAGTCGGGCTCTTTAAGAAAAAAAATTGTAATCAGCTGGTAGTTCTACCATACCTTTTTATTGTACCATGCAACTTCCCTACTGTGGTAAAATATTTAATACAGCCCCTTGTAGAATTAAGAAGGTTATGTCATGCAGACTTTGTCAAAATATATATTTATGAATTCATTGTACATACAAAAATCAAAGAAGCGAAACTGCTTTCTATGCAGTGAAATTTGACAAGGTAAATTACAGAAAATGAAGTGACTTTACATTCTTAGTTTAACCATGGTACACCCATACTAATACACCATGTCTATATCTTAGAATCTACAAAATAAAAAGGTTGTAAAAACTGTTACTTTTCTAAATTCACTCAACTTTAATATTTTCCAATTACATTTACATTTTTGTAGCCAAAATTTCTATTTAACTGTTAAGTCCGGGAGCAAGCCTTTATAATGTGTCACAAAATATGCCAAGCTGCTTATGTACCCACACTTTAAGACAAATGCTAAAAGAATCTAGAGTTATTTACCTTAAAACTGTGACAATGTCGCTTGCTGTTTCCGTTCGACATTTGACGGTCTTTTCTAGGCCATTAAGCATTGCAGACAGTTCAGCTAAGTCACAACCCGCACTATGCAAAGGACCAGCTAGACCCAACACTTTTGGCATATCTTGTAGGTCTTCGATTTTATAAAAACTACTAAATATTTCTCGCATGTCTGCAAATAATGTATCCTGATGACAATCATCCAATACCAGCAAATATACTTTTTCCATCTTGAGAACACCCTCGCGCATCAAATGTAGACATGTTTTCGGTTGCAAAATGTAAACATTAAACCCCCGAGGCAGATCATCAAAAGTAGTGCTTGGCTCCTGGCATACCCTCAAATCTGTTAAGTGTTGCAACATTGTAAACATTGCCGGCGCCTTGCTCGTACTAAGATAAATAGCAATTTTGTTATCTAGCAGTCGTTGCTTATGTCCCAATTCTTGCAACAGTTTTAACGCAATGAATTCCTTGGACGATTTATGGCCCAAACATATCATGGTGTTGCGCTCAAATGCAGCAGCTAAAAGTTCAACTTGATAGTCACGAGGACTAAAAACTGCTGTATGCAGATTATCGCACCAATGAAATGACATGGTGGATATGGATTATTGGATGGAACCGATTGCTTGTAAGAACTTAGAAATTTGCAACGCTCCCCTCTGTGGAGACGATAGGCGGTGCAAATTTGGGATACCAAAATGAAAGACGTCCCCAACGAAACAAATAAGAAAGGCAAAAAAGAATGCCGATAAAAAATAAAGTGAAAGTAAAACACCGAATACCTCTGTTGTTTACGAAAAAGACATGAGCAAAACGCAATCAGCTGGGAGCACTCATTAAATGAACGCGGAACCAGTCTGCAAAATTGACACTTCTAAGAATTTTATGGTTGCTAAAGTACTTGAATTATGTTGGCATTGTTAAATACGGGACAGGTCCACATAACTATTAATTTAGACATTTTTAAAGACAAACAAACTGAACCATAGCAAAAAAAATAGAAGTTGTTGTTTTGTAGCAGCTCTTACATCTGTGTTCGTTTTTCATTTTTCTGATTCCATTCAATCAGGTTCTGCCTCTAAGTCCAGTCTCAAAAAGGATGAAACATGTATGGGTTGTGTCCATAACGAGACTGAAGTTAGGTGAGTATGCTTGGCAGCGAAATAGGTGCAGCGTGTCATGTGGCCTGTGCCACAAGCTGGGCAGATGTTCTACACTTCGCTGTTAATCCGGGCCAAATAGGAATTTAGGCGGCTGCACCATCCGGATCGTAATTGAGCCAAAACTACTAGGGTTTGTCCGGGCAGCTCTCGTTCTTTACCTGCGACGGGAGGGGATGGTCTCCTATCACAGTATTCACTCTATATCCATCAATGGCTTCTGAGACCGCATTAGAGTGAATACTATTCAGTCCCGCTTAATGGGCTGGTAGATCTAGAGGATCATGAAGGTCTTTCCTAACGTGCATGGGCGGAGGTTGCCTATCCACAGGATAGTGATTCGGATGGCTTTGTCTACAACACCCAACCTGGTATTGCATTGACAGCATTTTGTTATGCTGTCGCACCGGTAAGACCTTCGCCTCCTTATGTAGGTGATCGACAGGTGTCATGGGAATCCCACGCCGGCCGGTTCTATGCACCGGATTGACTCGGAGGTACAAATCTCCGACCAGGGGCCGCCAACCCAGAAGCACCATAGCTGTTGGTGTTTTGTAGAGTAATACAACGTTCTTTTTTTCTATTATTAGGATAAAAATGCTCAAAAAAAGTGTAATTCTATCAAAAAGTGAAATTTTGTATAAAAAAGTGTATGCCAAAAATGGAATTAAGTCACAAAACGTCGAATTTAATATTAGCATTACTATAGAATCAAATAAGCTGGGGTTTGCTGCTAACTGTAATAAAATCAAACAATAATAAAAATATGAAAGTGTACAGTTAAAATATTATATGGCAGTGTTACCTAAAATTCGACTTAGCTTATACAAATATTCAACTTCCCATGGTACAATAAGGAGGTAGAGCAGCTTCGTAAAACTACAGAAATACAGCCCTGATGCTATGCCCGCTTCCTGTCAGACTCGTTCAAATTTATATACAGCAAGTTGTTTTAATTTTTTAAATGATTTTTTAAAATGGGTTGTCCCTCAAAAATTCGATCCAAACTGTTTAATCTTTCAATTTAATGGCCAAAATGGTTCATAGCTTTTATGCGCGAACCGCAATGTACGTGTTTTTCAATCATTGGTTTTGAAAATATTTTGTTTTCATTTTTCAAAACAATAAATACATACAAAAAATTGGCAGAAGTCGGGCTCTTTAAGAAAAAAAATTGTAATCAGCTGGTAGTTCTACCATACCTTTTTATTGTACCATGCAACTTCCCTACTGTGGTAAAATATTTAATACAGCCCCTTGTAGAATTAAGAAGGTTATGTCATGCAGACTTTGTCAAAATATATATTTATGAATTCATTGTACATACAAAAATCAAAGAAGCGAAACTGCTTTCTATGCAGTGAAATTTGACAAGGTAAATTACAGAAAATGAAGTGACTTTACATTCTTAGTTTAACCATGGTACACCCATACTAATACACCATGTCTATATCTTAGAATCTACAAAATAAAAAGGTTGTAAAAACTGTTACTTTTCTAAATTCACTCAACTTTAATATTTTCCAATTACATTTACATTTTTGTAGCCAAAATTTCTATTTAACTGTTAAGTCCGGGAGCAAGCCTTTATAATGTGTCACAAAATATGCCAAGCTGCTTATGTACCCACACTTTAAGACAAATGCTAAAAGAATCTAGAGTTATTTACCTTAAAACTGTGACAATGTCGCTTGCTG